CAACATACAAGTGAACTCACAGCTTTCATCCTTGATATTTTGTTCAATATTATACAATAAACATTGACCGATTTTAAATAACATACGACTCTGCTTCTTAATAATGTGACAGATTCACTGATATGTGTAATTCTGGGCGTGCTAAAGCTCGGCATCGATACGCCCTGATACCGTAGGATTTAGGACACACACGATGATCCGATGAATCATGTTCTACTTCAAGCATAACATGACTCAACTTACCTCCAGGAGTCGGTGTCTGGGTTGTACATCTCGACGCTGTCTAGGTTGGTGTTGATCTCCTTATCTCCACCAATGGCATAAAGACGCTCTTCGTGTACCACCACTGAGAAGTTGCTTCTAAACTCCTGCATGTCAGCGAGCCTTTTCCAGCTGTCCTGTACGGGGTCATAACTATGTGTGCGATGAAAGAAAAAAGGTAAAGATGGAAATGTTCAGATCCCAGCTGTGCATCTGTGGAACAATCTAGGTTATTCAAAGTGAGAAGAGGATATTTGTGCACCAGTTGTGTCCTTTTACCTGTAGGCAGATTTCATCATGTCATCCTTGCAGTAGTAGTAGCATCCTCCAAACACATACAACTTTCCCACCATTGCTGCTATTCCATGCCTGAACTTTGGCTTGTCTGGCATCTCACCCAGCCTCCTCCACTCAATCTTCTTCACCAAGCCTATACCACTGCGTAAGGAGTTTGCAAACCACAGTTCCCTGCTTGGTATGCGCTGTCCCACATCTGGGTCCAGCTGGTCTCCCCCGACCACAACCAGGGCGTCTTTGGGACGTCGGACCCGGCACTGATCCTGGGTTTCTGGAAGGTTGAAACCAAATTCCTTGAGCGCTGAACCATAGAGTTCTGCCTCTTTGTTTCCGAAGCTCTCCATGCGTAGGGTAATGGCCCTGACCTCCCTGAACTCTCGAAAGGTCATGAGGGGGAACCGGACTCCGGTCATCAGTACGCCAGCCTGGCCCGACCTCTCTTTAGGATTAGCCTCAATCCAACAGATTACGGCTCGAAATACAGCCAACTCTGAGGGCACGCACAGATCATCACAGCAGAGGATGTCCAGAAGCTTCTCTGCTGGTAGGTCCTGAAACTTTGACGTCGCTGACACCTCCCAGAAGTTCTTCAGCACAAAGTCATTGGCTTCCTCGAGCAACTCTGGCATCTCATAGGCTTCAGCAAATGATGCCACATCCAGGCAAGAGCTTGCCTCCATTTCCTGACTCATGAATTTGAGGCAAAGCGAGAGGGCATGCTGGAACTGAAGCTGGAGCACTGTGCAGGAGATCTCGAAGACACAGTCCCAGCTAAGTGGAAGAGTTCCACTGTAGGAGCAGCAAATCAGAGCCTCTAACTCAGAAGGTGACAGGAAGGGAAGGGCAATGCATGTCTGGTTGGATTCCCTCATCCCGCAGGTGAACATGCTGCGGAAGTAGTCACTGCTTGCTGCCAGGATAACTCTGTGGACTGGAGACAGACAAAAGAAGAGCTCAGTTGATCAATATCAAACAATCAACAAGATACCTACAAATTGCATGACTCTATACTAACCATGGAATACAGCACCGTCCACATCCAATATCACATCATACCCAACTCTGTCTGCCCACAACTGATTGATGGACTGGAGAGTAATCTTCATCTGTTCAAGGGCAGATATCTTTCGCTCTTCCTTCTTCGGACTGCCACCTTCTTTCACCCGCTCTTCTTTGTTGCAGAGATCCAGCACTCTAGGAATGCCCAGAGCTTGAGCTGCAGCCATAATCGAGGACATGCCGTCTTTGTTCAAAGACAACACAGCTCCAGTGTAGGCAAACTCCAAAACTGCCTGTAGCCCAACATGATCAACCTCAGGAGACAGAGACACTGACCGCCTTCGGACTTCTACATCATTATCGTTGCCTGATCGTACTCCACTTTCATCCCTCAGTCTTTCTTGGATGAAGGAGCTGACAGCAGCAAGAATAGGGGAGTGTACGTGAAAGCCGTTCCCGTTGTCAGTGGTCAGAGTGAGGTCTGTGAGAAGAGATGAATCCCAGAATTCCTTCAGGGCAATGAATACCTCTTTAGGATAGGTGTCAATGCGGTATGTGTGGACTTTATCGCCAAGTCCTTCATCCCAGAATGCTACCTCTCTCACATGCTGCCCAATTCCTTCCAGACTAGCACCACTCATCCCGACCTCCGACCCCTGTTTTTTACCCCTCCCACTCATCAGCCCCATCCTGGAGTCATTGTACGCCACGATCCTCCTCAGTTCGCGGTTGTCCTGTTCAATCCCTTCTTCGCCACCTTCTTCAATCACTCGTTTCCTCCTCTCCTTGTCTCTCCTCCATCTCTCTTCCCATTCCATTGGAAGGTAATGCCTAGTAAACTCCATGCATGTGGCTGGGCTTTACTTTCTCTTCAAACTAATACCCACAGTGGTCTTTCTGCGGTATTTTTAATTACTGATGACCTCCAGCAAAATCTTGATTTGATGAAGTTACTTTCTCATAACTACTCTTGCTGCCTTCGCAAATCTTTCTGTCCCTCCTAACTCTCTAATAGACTCAATGTTCCTCACTGCATCAACAGCAGCTATTCATAGCTACTGGGTCAGAGAGATTCAGTTTCAACTGAACCTCAGCTCTCACTTCATTGTAATGTTCACCAAGGAAGAAAATGGAGATGAACTTTAATGTTTATTGGAGCCAATAAAGAGCCAGATAAAATATTTTCCCACCATTGACAAGTTTAACCTTGACTTGAAAATAACTTCTGTATAACAAATATCCATCAAGGAGCCAGACAGAAACGGTCTTAAGTGTATTTATGATAACACAATGTTTATGCTGTACTTTATGTTAATGATTATTCCTCATAACATTATTTTCCGTGATATGTTTTATATCCTTAAACCATAAAATAAACTAACCTGGGCTATTTTTTTTAAGTGTCATGCATTTGAAGTCAAATATCAGGGGCACAATTCTGAACAAGTAAATTATAATGATCTTATTCTAGAGTATGTTACAGTCTTTTGTACAAGAAAGATAAAAAAGGGGATCTTGTAGTTGACATTTACATAACGGAAGTGGATGGAAACATGCTTTCATTTGCCTTCTCTTTTGCAGATTTTCTTTAAATTCAGTTAATAATTGGTCTGCATTTGGATGGGAAGCTGGCTAGTGTCAGACTGTTGACATGTACTTTGTTTAAGAAAAAAACTTCTATTCCAGATTTCAACACATTGAAGGCACATAAAAAGTAAAGGTAGAATCACACAAAAACATGGGCCTAGACTATGATGTTAACGGATTGTTAAATTGTAATTCAATAAAAAAATAACGACCAAAAAACAAGTGTCAAGATGCCATGAGGAAATAGGGTAAGGTTTAGCAGCTTATCTGATGTTTTTGCAGCAGCTTTGATTCATGCATTGCTTCACCCAAACAATTATTAAACTGGACTTTCTTATAAACACGCATCTTTTTGCTGTCAGTCATTTCAGTATCGAAAAAAGGACCTCCCAAGCTGAAGAATGGAGAACTTCTCAGTGATGATGGCTGTGTGTTTGCTTGCTGGTCTATCTGAGTGCCAGACTGGAGGTGAGGACAATCAGACCCAGATCACAGAACTCTCACATGAAGACCTGGCAGACGCCTGGGTTGAGCAGGATGCTCTCCAGAATTTAGAAACGCCAACCATTTTGACAACGGCCTCAACAGCAACCCAGCCAAGCTGTAATCCACCCATCTACACGGTGCTGAAGGAGCTGGGGGCTCTAGGAGAAAAGCTTGCAGCTACCGCGAGAGCTCTGGAGGAAACAAACAAAAGGCTGGAGGCCAGTAAGAGAAAACTCTCTGCACTTGAGAACAGTACAGAGTATCAAGGTAATACAAATATGCTAAACAATGGTTGTGCAGAGCCATAGTTTGTCATACAAACCACTTGTTGTGAGCTGAATCGGTCTATTGTGAGCTCACATCAAACTTGTTGTTGCACGTTATTTCATTTTGCAGAAATGATTTGTATTTTTTTTGAAAACTTTTTTTATAATTAGAGTTAGAGTTAATCTGACATGCTGTTTTATTTTGAAGGACAGAATAATGACGTATTCGCGTTTCCATCTCTCAGGGCGGTCTCGGATTGCATTTTCTGCTACATTCTCAATACATGGCACCATTGGTCCTGTGAATGTTCTTTACGCTCTGGTCTACAATCATGTTCTGTTCAACACTGGAGGGCATTACAGCCCAGTCACAGGTCAGTATTCACCGTGTACTTGCTCTTGAATTAGTTGTCAAGTACTGTTTGGTAACTCATGTTGAACAGTGATTTTATTTTACTATTGTTGCAGGTTATTTTACAGCACCAGTGCAGGGAGTCTATTATTTCACTTTCACCTCCTTCGTCTGGAGTGGTAGCTCCAGTGGCAGTTTGTACCGAAATGGAAACCAAATAGTGTCATGGTATGGTACTCTAAATCATTCACGCTCTAGATCTAACAGCACTATCTTGCAGCTACAAGTTGGAGACCATGTCAATGTTCGTCTTTGGGAAAACAGGATGATCAGTAGTCATCCAAATCACTACTCCACATTCAGTGGATTTTTGATTTTCCCTGTTTGAAGTTCATGAAAAATATTTACAGCTTTTCCAACTTTTAATAATTATTGTCAAAAGATTGCTAAATGTAATGTGACTTTCTGCAGCTGTACACTTCATGTTCAAAATGTTCATTCTCACTTAACTGATTTATGTTAGAGAACATTTAAAGCAATAAGACTTAATTTCATTAATTTAATAGTTTTATTTTTTTATTTCAACAGGTTTTTTTTGGTATACATGTTCAATGTTCTGTAATTTTTTTCTACCACCATTTTCTGATACTTGTAAATCATAATGTACCACATAAATCATAATTTATTTTATTTACATTGTTCAGAAAAGCTCTTTAAAACTGTCAAAAAAATGGCGCGGCTACAAAAACACAGACACTGCTCCTTTTGCTGCTGTATTCTCTTGCACCTTTCAAATACAAATAATGTCTGAAATATATTTACTTTGGATTCTTTGATTTCAAAATCCTCATTGTACAGTCAGAGAAATTCTTCAATTGAATTTTTAGCAATATATTTACTACATATTACTGTAAGTCTAGCATCAAAACAGTACTTCCAAAATACAGTGTGACCACTTGTAATGAATCAATTACCTTGGCGCAGATGGTTTAATCCCTGCTCGTTTAATGTTGAGAATAAGGGGTTTTAGGCTTATTCTACTTTTGCATAGATTGTTAAAATGTGTGCATCAGCTATGTTATATTTTACATAATATTAACACTTGGAGTTGAATGAATAAAGTGCAGAGAACTAAAGACTTATATTAAATCAATAAAAAGAAAACCAATATGTCTGCCTCAAATATTATATTAATCAATAAGATCAAATAAATGACAATACAATAACCCTGAGAACAATCTTTGCCAAATTAAGGTTATTACACACCGCTTAATATGAGTTACATTCCCCTAACATTTGACTAATTTAACAATTCATATCACTGACGCAAATCGTAAAAAGATTTCCAAAAAAGGAAAGTATAAACTCACGGTGTGTTTCTGCGGTACAGGTTTGTCCTTCAATACAAGGCTGTTCAATACAGTTGGTGAACGCTATAATTCAACTCTGTGCAATTCAAAAATATGCTCAGGAAATAAAAAAGAAAAAAGAAAACTTTATCTGAAAGTAGAAATTGGATGGCACATTCTAAGGTATCGCTACTTTTGTAGCATTTAACCAGGATGGTTCTGACACCACAGCACAGTGTTGAACCGTGACTTTCTACAGTTTTACTCAGTTGAAGGTGATGAGGTACTCTGGGTAGGCCTGGTCATCGTGGAAGATCACAAACATGGTGGGCTGCTGCTGGTTGTTCACCAAACTGTCGAAGCAGTCGGTCTGGTCTGAGCCTCGAGGAGGGGTGTCTTTCATGGAAGAATTACCGACCGTGTAACGGCCGGTCAGGACACGAGCCACATACAGCCTCTTCAAGCCTGACGCGTCTGCTGGGCTGTATCTGCTTGCTGAATACTGTGCATTGACAGCAAAGTAAACTCCCTTTCCAAACATGGCAGCTGTGATAGAAATACACAAGAAAAAACACTTTTCAACATCCAAAATACAAATTTAGGTGTTTTTTTTTTTTTTTTACTACTTTGTCCATCTGTGTCTTTATAGCTCTCTTAAATTCACCAAAAAGTAGCATTAGATAATGCCTCATTTGCATATTTAAACTTACAATTACAGAAAGCTTTTTTTTATTGGTTATATCTAATACTTTTTTTTAACCTTATTTCCTTGTAGTGTCCTGCAAAATGTATGGAATTTGTTTTAATACACATCTTTAAATGAGTTTTTTTTCTCAGATTCTGAGCCAGAAATCTCCACTTCAGTAGCACGTACATACACCGACTTTCATTTCATTCATACCTATATTCTTAAGGTTTTCACAGAGGGATTTGTTGATATATAATTCATAGTCTAATATATATGACATTTTATTGCTAAAAACATGGAAAATTGTAGTTTTTTATTGCCGTTGACAGTATTTCCATTTATGGTGTGATATAAAGAGATATCCAAAAAAATCCCGTGGTTAGTATCATATTTATGCTCTGGAGATTTATGCAAATTAGCACATACTTGATAACATAATTTGCATATCCAAACATACAATTTCTGAAAACTTGCAATACAAAAAAGAATTACCTTAACCTACGTAAGTAATCAACTGGGGATGTTTTATGGTGATATGTATTGGTTGAAGTGGTTTACCCTATTCACCTGCGTCTCCCCTTAAAGGAGTAGTTCAACACACTATTCACTTTGTTGCCACAAGGTAGACGAGAGGATCGACACCACTCTCATGAAGCTGCAGACAGAAACCGGTTGGCTTAGTTTGGCATGTGACAACATTGCTTACCGTGTTGTCCTGCGTAGCTCCTGTTAAATCTGTCCCTTTCAATGCAGTGGCATGACTCTGCCGATGTGCCATGGTAGAGAGTCTTCTCCCCAAGGTCTGCTGGGCCATTTTTGGCAAATATACGCTGCCTACACACAGTATAGGCATGCCACAGGTAGTAGTTTTGCACCCGCTCAATCTGAGATCAGAAAAACAATCAATTACTTGTTCTGTACTGTAGGTTTTTAATGTGAGAAACGTGTGCTTTTGTGTTCTTATAGTCACTTTTTGGATGTTGTATTTAGCCATTTTGAGGAAGCCCTGGGCTACAGTCTGGTACTCTGGTGAGTTAGGTTGCAGCTGGATCTTTTTAAACACTTCTCCGTGCATAGGTTCCCATTCTGTTGGCAACTCTACGGCTGAAGTAGAAGTCACATGAATTAATGTTTTAAAGACATGAAAAAAAGAGGATGGTTTTAACATGAATCTAAAGTAAAACTACAAAATGTGACATACCCGTTTCAGACTTGCTCCTTTTCACTTTGTACATGACGCCTGTTAGCAGATTGGTGGCTGCTTGTGTTCTCAGGTTGACTTCCAACATCATGCCGTTTGGTGCCGTCAATTCTACAAACACTTGTTTCTCCAGGTGAGCCTCCTCAAGCATGTAGTTGTCATGCATGTTCAGCTCTTGCCAGGCCTTATTTATATCCTGAATCGACCACTGCACAGTAAGAGCCAACATGGCTTCTTCTTTGTCTTGGAGGTCTTCGCAAAATGCCTCTTGGATTGCTCTGTTTATAAGCTCGAAGACGCCCAACACGTCCTCTTTTAGGCCTGTCAGCACATAGACCTCCTTTCCTGACCCTGACCGATCTCTAGCTTCAGCTCGGGCTGCGTTTCCTGCTCGGTTGCCGTTCACACCCTCAGAACTTTGACGCCTCCTGCACTCCAGGCTTATACCCAAGACTTTGACTTTGGCCTGCACTGCCTCCAGCTCCATCCCATCAAGCCTGGAAAAATGATGTACATCCACCTCTCTCTCTACCAGCTGCTTCTGCAGGATCCCCTCCAACTCTTTCTTCACTGTCCTGATGCTGTCTGGACTACAACTGATCACACTTACTACAGCTGGCGGTGGCTTTGAGGAGGCGAAGGTTTTGCCTTGAGGTGTTGAAGTTGTGGAGGTTTTTGAATACTTGTCGTGCCACTTCTTGAGCTTTTGTTTCGCTTTTTCTAAAAAAAAAAAAAAAAAAAAAAAAAAAAGAGCAAAAAGAAGTGAGACACCTCATTTCATCAATTATTTGAGCCCAGATAAGATAAAATACAAAGGGAAACGAAAAGAGGAGAGAGAGACACAAAGCAGCTACAAAGAGACACAAAACCACAGAGAGATATGTAACAACTGTAAAGACACACAAAACAACAAGAGATATTAACAAATATTCAGTTTGTGTGTCTTGCTCACTGGTAGGAGAGCTGGTGGGGTCTGTGACCAGGAGTCTCATAATCTGCCCATGGCTTATAGCCATCATATTATGTGCCAATCTTACCATTTATCAATATATATCAATATGTTGTGAAGATAAAATTACTTTGTTTTGTGCAAGAAAACAAGTGTTCTGTATGCTAAACTGACACATTTCCTAATAATACACCTTATAAAAGAGTTGGAAGTTATAACAAATGGCAAATAGGTCGGTCCGTACATTCTTTTGGATCCAGACTGAAATTTCACAACAACTGTCATTTAATTGAAGTTAATGAAATTCACATTAGCTGGTCTTCATCTGACGGAAACACCTCAACATCTATTGGAGTATAACTAAGACCTATGGCTCATCAGCCTCTGCTGTATTTTCCGTTTAGTGCTAATTAACAAAAGTTAGAATGCCAAGTTCACGAACCTGGTAGATAAAAACTGATAACAATTAGGTACAAAATACAACATTTTTCAAGCTTTACAGATGAACACAAACCTCTAAGACTGAGGTGGCGAGCAGCTGTTTGTCGAAAGCGGTTCTCCAGCTCTGCTCTGAAAAAACATAATACAGGGCAGGAAGTTTACAACAAACAATGCAACCCATGATAAAAAATAGTTTAACTTTCTGTTCCATTGTATGAGTAAGATTTATATCTGACCTGAAAGCCTGGAAGACCGATTGCTGGAAGATGACAATGCGGATCAGTGTGAGGGAATTTGGTTTCAAGTCACTAACAGCTGAGGTCATGCCATCCAGCATGGCTTTACAAGCTTTGTCAGAGTCCATACCAGCCACACCTGATGGGATAAATAGAGAATGATCAGATACCACCAATGATGCCATTGACATTGTTATTATGACCTTTTTTTTTATCATTTTAGATTTACTATAATTGAAGAAAAGTATTTTCATGCTACTAAAGGCCACCAGAAATGCATCTGTAGAATTACGGATCTATTACTAATTTATACCTGAATACATTTACTTCATGTGTTATTATATATATATATATATACTTATAAGTGAGATTTGTAATCAAGCTTAGATGTAAACCCTGAAATTCCAACTACATTAGGGTGGTTAAGACAAATCTGGTGTAGCCCTCAATGCACAAAGTACACATAAACACACACACACGCACACAGCACAAACCAGTATTGATGGCTGGGAAGGCCACTGAGCTGTAGCCTTTGCTCTCACACTGCTTCAGTATCTTTTTGCAGTTCTTCCGAATAATCTGAGTGTCACACTTGAAGCTAGCATGAATGATTTCCTGACAGCCAAGCAACCCGGGTCCTGTGGTGCACATGTAGTCTGCTGGGATGCCCACTGATAAAAGACATAAAAGCATATACGACCATGAAAACAGTAAAACATTGGATTTGTGTATAATATGTTGGTTGATTAAAATGTAGCACAAGTTTAAACAAAATCTCCAGAAAATAGGTAAATGTGAATTAATTTGTCTTTCCATCCTTTACTGTTGGACAGTAATGTTCACAACCCAAAACTCTACAAAGTATTTTTGCAGCATTTACATTTAGCTCCCTCTCAAGGCTTACCTTGTGCCAACTGTGCCTGGACACTGGGCCCTGCTGTAGTCACAATGGCTTTAGACACACCTGTGAAGTTTGTGAACACACAGTTACTGTAGGTTCTCAAATATAAATATAATGTATACAAAACTCTCAAAAATAACACCAGTTTGTGGTGCTGTGGTCCTCTACACGTATATTAAAAGTCAATCCAAATATTTAGAAAATCAAATCTTACCAGATGGGTTGTTGGAGAAGTTAGTTGTGTTGACAATGGCATCAGTGCTCTCCTGAATGATGTCACCGCGGACCATCTGGAGCTTGACTCTACCCAGCATGGCTGTGACCTCACCATCAGTTACGGAGACATGGCGGTAAAAGGAAGCTAAAGACACAAAAGTAAAAAAAAGCATGTTAGCCAGAACTTTAAAAAAGCTAATATGTTGGTGGCAGTGTTTGGGAGCCTCTTTAATGTTTTCTGCTCCCTTGTGGCCTTAAATAAACAGTGTTTCCATTCAAATATTTTTAAAGTATAACATCAGAAAAGCTACATGGAGACGGAAAAAATTAATAAAACTTCCTTAAATGAGAAAAAAAAAAAAGTTTTGGTGGATTTTGCTTTTGTCGAAGAAGAGTTGGCGCTCCAAATGGGATATGGAAACGACTTTGCAGAATTAATTCTGAGTTAGCGAACATTTAATTCCAATGACTGATCAGTTGTTTCTGTTGTTGGCGTTGTCTCGGAATATACTCATAACGTGCAAATGCTTGTCTAATGACGACATGAAACATGGCCAAAACTAGCTGACATGAAAGTACAATTAAACTTGCCCAAATAGAACATATTCTTGACGACCTCTCCATTTTTCTCTCGTAGATGGGCAACCAGACTTCCGGTTTTGCCGGGGGGTTAGAGCCATGTGTTGCCTAAAGTGCCAACCTCTGATCAAACTACGCTGTAGCAGAGTTTATTTGCTCATTTCAAAAGTTTGCTCAAAATTTGCTTGACAATTAACAGGAAACATGGCTAATCATTATCTTACTGATTGATTGAAGAAACAAGTAATGTATCAAACTCTTGCTCAACCGGACATTAAAAAATAAAAATATGCACACTAACCTTGGTCTGGGTTAGCGTCGTTGGTGAATCCTCTGAGATGCAGAGTTTCCTGGGCAGACTGGAAGGCCTGCAGTGATGAAGTGACGAGTTTAATTCCAGTTCCACATGCAAAACAAAAAAACTATTGCACTCCATTTTTTTTGTTACAAGGCACTGCATTATCTTTACCTTGCTGGAATCTTTGTCATTGGGGTGGATGACAAAACGGACCAGGAAAGATGTTCTGGTGTCCCGGTCCTGTTCAAATTTACGGACCTCCTCCAGTAAAACCCTGGATGCCACGCTGTGAGGAAAATGCAGGACAAAACCGGTCCCAAGCACAGGGAAGGCAACAGAACTGAAGCCTCTGGTATGACAGGAAGCCAGAATTTTTCTGATGCCCTGTCTCATAGTCTGGAAGATTGAATGATTATAAGGTTACTAAACCCCTTAGTTTTTAAGGGAGTAAGAACAACAAAACACAGACGCAGTAAAGACAAACCTGGTTGCACAAAAACCTACAAGGACATATTCAACACACAAATTCACCTGGATGGCAACTCCATGTTGGTTATTATCCCAGGGAAGAAGGTTGAGGAAGAACACTCCTTTAGATTGAAGGGTAGGCAAACCCGCCACCAGGACTGTGTTGCCAGGCAATGTTGGTCCTCCTGCTTCCTTATGGAAATTTGCAGTCAGCTGAGGTCCAACCATGACTGACAAAGCGTTTCCAACACGGATTGAGGTGGGATCATGGCCAAGCATAGGGGTTACTATGCAATCCACCTAGGAGAATACAGCAATCTAATTTCATCCATGTTAACACTTAAATGTTCCTAAACAGAAAGTAGATTATGTATGCAAACAGAGCATGGTACCAGCACCAACAGCAGATTACCTTGTGAAACATCCAGAATCAAATCAATTTAGCTCAGTTTCTCACCTGCTGGGTCTCCAGGGTTCCCTGAATGATCTCTACATGGACACCATCTTCAGGAGCTCCACCAGTGGCTCCTCTTTGGAACCCCGGATCTCTTGGTGCAGCATTTCCGCTACTTATCCCTTGGAGAAGCCGGTCACATGCTTCCTGCATGGCCCTCACCACCTCTCCTCTGTTATCAATCAGGATAACTCTGCTCAGACTTCGGCCTCCCTGACTACCAAACTTTTTCACAGCAGTTACAATAGCGTCAGAGCACACAGCGACGGGAACACCAAACACACCTGAGCTGATACAGGGCAGGGCTATAGACCTTAAATCCTTTGCCTCTGCTAAATTTAGAGCAGACTGGACAGTTGTCTCCAGTAAGATCCTCTCTCTGCCACCTGATTTTCCTCCTACAGGCCCAACAGCATGCAGCAGTATCTTACAGTTTAAGTGTCCCCCTGTGGTCACTACCACATCACCTGTAGGAACTTTTCCAGTCCGCTTTACTATATCTCTGCTCTCCTTCTGCACCTGAGGGCCACCCGCTTTACTCAGTGCAGCAGCGACCCCACCACAGTGGTCCAGATCTTCGTTGGCAGCGTTCACTAGGGCATCAGCTTCCTGTTTGGTGATGTCACCCTGACACACCAGCACCTGGAACCCGTCACGAAGGCTGTAGCTAGCAACTGTTGTGTTTACTCCACTCAATCCTGCACCAGATGCCAAAATCTGTCTTGTAGCGTGAGCTTGTTCCTGAAGCTGTACGAGACACTTCTGAGAATGAGCAACACTTAAAATGTTGACTCTTCCAGTGGAACTTTCAAAATACCTTACTGCCCCTGGTAGGTCAATGGTGATTCTATCCTGAACAAGGGAGTCCAGAAATGGGCCCAGTTTGTTCCTGATCTCGGTCACTTTTCCGGATGGACCTTCCAGCACCACCATGGGCCCAGGGAAAGATGTTGAAGGATGGAAGGTAACCCCTGAATAGTCAAACCCATGCAGCTGCAGGAATTCTGGTAAGAGTTGTACTAACTCTGAGTAAGGAAGAATGACTTGGCCTTCTATGCTTGACTCATCCAAAATAAACTGTATGACAACTTCATTTAGCTCTTCGACCTCTTTGGTGTGGCCCAGTAGGCACACCGTGCTGTCTGGGCCAAACACGACCTGAGCCCTGTATTGCCCTTGGTTCATTTCATTTGTCTTGGGCTTTAGCTTTTCACGAAGATCAGTCGGCACAGAAGAGCAGTTAGGAACATCAATCTTGACTTCCTTGAATTTTTCTTTCAGTTTTTTTTCTGTGTCATCCAGTTTATTAGCAGACACGGTGAAGAAACGTACCTCCGTGTCTCGTAACTCTATTTCCACCTTGCCACCAACCCCTAAAAAGTCCCCCAGCACCCCTGCACCGCCGTATGCCTTTCTCAAGAAGGCCAAAAGATGTGGGCTCATGTCAGAAACGGTCCTTTCGAACACAAGATTCTCCTGCTCAGAGATAGAATCTCCAGCCTTAAGAATCTCCTCCACAGAACCTTCCAAAACTAACTGACCTGCAGCTCCCTGCGTGACCTTCACTTCTGGAAAATCTTGTCGCAAACTGGGCTCCATCTCTTTCCAGAGGAGGCGGAGCTTGGCCTCGCCCAGTCGACGAATGCTTTTTTGCTTCTCACTGGAACCTGACCGTCGTTTAACATGCGAGTCCTCTACAGCCATCAACATGGCCTTCACTTGAGAACGCTCCCCAACCACAATGGCCATCCCATCCTCGCTGTACACCTTTACCCCATCTGTGGTCTGACGAGAGCTGCAGGACTTAATTAAAGCTTTACCTTTGTGAGGGTCCACCTCACAGTGGCACATATAGCCATCAAAGAGTTTGTCTACCTCGGCTTTCCAATTTCTAACTGCAGCACCAGCTTGAGCTAACCGGCTAACTAAAACCCTCCGCTCCTCTGGGTACAGCTGGGCAGAGCAGGCCACAGAGCTGAGTGCTTCCTCTAGTTCTTTCACAGCCTTGGGGCACTCCTTTAGATAACGTAGGAGGTGAGAATCAAGTCGTAGTTCATATTCTTCGCCACTTGTTAGCAGGCTTGGGTTAAGACTGGACGGCTGTGTCTGCTGTTGGAAAGACATATATTAATTTGGTTTTCAGTATATGACAAATTGATGTTCATTACATGCACACATTTTTTTTAAATGATTGAGACACTTGCACAACAATTGAACACATACTCTAAAGCATTTCTATGAAGTCAGTTTCAATTATTCCAATCAAACTTTACTCAGTAAGTGCTTGTGATGCTTTATAATGATAATACCATATATTTTTACAACCAGTTGGACATCATTTTTTTCCTACATAGTGTATTGTGCAACAGTTGCTCCGAGACACTATTTTAGAAGACTGTCCACACTGACCTGTGATGATGTTGAGTCCAGTTTTGGACTAACTGACTGTCTTGTAGTCGAGGATGTGATGGGAGAGCCGGCGGAAGGTCCCGGGGTGCTTCGCACAGTCAGCACCAGAGGACCCCCGTCAAACTCCAACACATGTTCAGATCTCTGCAGGACTCTTTCCTGAGCTGAGACAGAAAAGGATTTATTACTTATGACAAAAACTAAACAAATACAAAAGAGCTGAAAAAAACGATAAAGTGATGCAAAAGATACAAAACAATCACAAAGACAAGCAAAACATCAGAAAAGAGAAGCAAAATTATTACAAAGAGACACAAAACGACTGCAAAGAGACAAAAGGCAACTTCAGATTGATGCAAAAATGCTCATTATATAACCAAAAAGCAACGCAAGACAACTAGAACGAGTTGCAAAACAACCGTTGAGAGACACAAAACAACCACAAAGAGACGCAGGGTTCCTGCAAATACACCAAATGACTACAAAGAGACAGAAAACAATGGCCACTGTCTCTGCCCAGGAGCCCCTGCGTGTCCATCCACGCTTTACAATGCGTGTGCAGTCTATCACTTTAACTTGGCTGCCGTTTGTTCCGCACCCTGTCAAGTGGTGGTGAAGTTATCAGTGCGGTGCAGTGATCAGCCGGAATAAAGGATAGGCAATGACATTATATTCGTTTGTTGATGATTGTTATTTATCCTCTGAAACCGCAAATACCGCATCAACAGGCGTAGTTCAAGATTCATCCTGTGGCGTACTAGAGCGTGATGAGCGCTCTAGTACGCCACAGGATGAATGTGAAACTAGAATATGTTTTGAAATGAAGACAGTGAATATACTGTACAGTAGCCTATGCTAAAGTCAAATTGACAGTCAAAGAGTGTGGATGTGGCTCTATAAGCAGTTGGTCTCTTTCATTACCCCCCAGATATAATCGAATGAGATCAACATGTTTGCAGTGCAGCATACTTTCACTTTCACCAGCACAAGACGACACACTTTAAGAAATCATCGACAAGTGACCCAATTGAACAGATAAAGGTTTAAAATCACGTCTTCTTACCATCTCGCTTATTAAAAGCAATGCTGTAAACGTGATCGTGCACGTTTGTTATCGAGCCGCAGTCTCCACCACCGGATTTGCGTCGCACGGTAAAGTATTTTCCTATTTTCTTCTTTTGCTTTTCGTCCAGACCGGGACCCTCGAAGAAGACGGGATACTGGTAAGGACCCTCCATGGTGTGAACGCTTGATAGACTTTATAATTAAAATACGTACAGGAGCGGACTGCAGTGGAACCGGGTGCCACTCTATTTCCCGGTTTCGAGGAGGTTTACTGAACTAAGCCAAGATGAATGTGGCAGAGCCTCTTTAAGAGTGGTGCAAAGTGAAAGTAAATGTACTCGAAAGGCGTTGTTAAAGGAACAGTGTGTAGCATTTAAGGGGATAGATTGACAATCGTATTATTAACTATGTTTTATTTAGTGCATCACCTGTAAATAAGAATGCATGAAATGCAGATTTTTGTAAATATTCTATTGCAAACGTTACCAGTTTTCTCCTGTGGACGGCAAAAAGGAACAGTGTGTCACATTTAGGGGGATTTCTGGGCGGAAATGTAATATAATATCCATAACTATGTGTTCATTAGTGTATAATCGCCTTAAGGAATCAATAAAGAATCGTGTTTCTGTTATAGAACGAGCCGTCACGTCGTAGGGAGCCTGTCTTCACTATATTTAAGCAGCAAATCAATTCTATCATTTGTTAAATATTGCTCATTGCTTTCTTTAACAGGTCATTTCATGCATAATTATATCATTATAATAATCTTCTCTTAGTTAAATGATAAACGTGAGAAATGTCAGAGAACTGCTCAGTTGTTTAACATTTTTAATCAGCAGCAGAAAAATCAACTGTTTACATAAAACTCAAAATGAATATGATTAAATGATTACATGGTTTTACACATTTTAAACATCCCCGTATCTTAACCAAAACTAAACATTCCAAATACAGTATATTAAATATTTACTATAGCGAAGCAGTATATAGGTGTGTGTATGTATTTTCTCTTATTGTACCACACTGATGCAAAATACACCCTCAAGAGACGCATAAAAAGCCCACTCTTTAAATCTGAACACTTCCTCATTGAATAACAGACGATCACTGTTTGTTATCTCTCATCCAGCCATGATGAAGGATGTCAGTCAGATGTTCCTGAATCAGGACAAGGAGACAGAAAAAACCATATCGCAGGGTTACATTTAATTACGAAATGTGTGTTATAATTGACATTCTGTTATAGCCGCACTGATCTCATCTGTAAACTGATTTTCCTCCCGTCTAGGCCATGATACCGACATGTGGCACTGTGCCATTTAATAAAATGAGAAGAAAGAATTCTAGAAATATGACGTCTGCAGCTAGTGAGTTATAATTATTTGTTATTGCTGAACTTACAAGCACAGATGAAATTATGAGTTTCCTCTTCCAACCACCAGAACCACTTGTGTTCATCTCCTGCGCTCATGGCCACAGCGATGTCACAGTCCTCCGTCTTGTTTCCTGGGGCCCAGTTATTATAGCAGACCAGGTTATCACTGACCCAGAACCATAAATCCAGAGGGCAGCTGTAGCGCAGTCCCAGCCAGACGTAGGGACTCTTGGCCTGTTTGGCTTTCTCTTCGACCCATCCCTGCTGGCGAGGGTTAGTGATGGAGACCAGGTCACTGTTGTTCCTTCTGCAGTAATTCAAGGCATCCTCCCAGGTCTTGTTCTCCTTGATCAGGTTCAGTTTATCTGTCATGGTAGAGATAGACACAAACACAGGATCATAGCAGCAGCTTTGTTGGTGTTCTCTTGATTGTTGAGAGCACTGCGCTGCAATATGGCCACTTTAAATCACTGCCTAAATGTTTGGTGCTGATGCTGATGATCTTTAAATGCCTTCCGCCACTTTTAAGGAACATTTAAGGGGCTCTATTGGAAGAAATGGGATTTCATGTTATTAAGCATGTTCTCTTTAGTGTATAATCACCTGAAAATAGTAATCTTTGTGTTCTGCTTAGAATGAGCCGTTTATATCTGCATACGGAGCGGGTCCTCTTCAAGGATTCGGCCGCCATGTTTCTACGGTAAACCAGAAAGGACAAAACCAACCTGCATTGACTACCCGACCGTGATCGGTAAACACAGAGGGGACACCGTTGTTGTGGTCTCCAGGGACGGAAAACAAAAACACGGGAAACCTCTGTTGGTCTTGAGGAGCTGCAGCTTTTATTTCTGCACAAACTGAAACATCCTCCATACATTCACTCAACTAACTCTCTTCTTCCCCGCTGTTGACTTTCTCTCTCTCTTTCTTCAACACTCACTTCCCACTACACAGACACTGGCTCTGATTCAACCTCACCACTAGATGACGCCAAAACCCTACATAGTGGTCCTTTAAGTGACATTTTATTTTAGAGCTAGCAGCGTCATAACAAAGTCTCTAACATAAACAGGATTAACATGTAAAAGCAGATGGAGCTCGTGTACATGTAGCAAATAAGTACTCACCATCATAGCAGAAGAAGGGTTTTGTGTTACTGCATTCATCAGAGCTCCATTTTCCATTTGACACAGTCATAGCACATTTCTTGTCGCCCTCATCAATAAATTGATCCGGATCCCAGGATCTGAAAGAGAAACTACTCCCATTTGACCACCTCCAGGTGTCTCTGAACAGGCCGATCCAAACAAATTTGTAAAGCTCTATCTTCTTGAATTCTTCGTCATTTAACTGTGTGGGTCCACTGATCAGGTCAGTGTGACGTTCTCTGCAGTAGCTCTGAGCCTCTAGCCATGTTTTCGATTCGTTAATCAAATGGTATTTGTTTTGATTGTTTTCTGTGGAATGAACAGAAAAACTTAAGAAATACACATTTTCATTAGTTATTTCCTCTCATAAAATCCTATATTCTCACTTTAAACATATGAATTAAACATGTGAGATAGATTAACATGATTTCACTGCAGGTTCAGATATTTAGATGAAAGTGTTTGGGATAATAAGGTGGATCACATCATTTCTTGCAGAACATAATAAAAATAAAAGTAGCCCTGATAAGGATTCATTTGTGGATTTTTTTTTTATCCCCATACCTCCAAAAAAAAGATGAAGTATATGTCCACATGGAAAACTATTGTTAGACAGGTTGATATTCTTTATACACATAACATTGTTAGCCACATATTCTCACCATCGTAGCAGATAAATGGATATCTACGATGACAGTGGTCATCGATCCATTTGTGATTCTTCATCATCACACAGTTCTCAGGATGATTTACATCATTCGGCTCACCACCAACCCATTCTGTCTCATTAGCATTGAACTCCACCCCTGGCAGAGACCAGAGCCACTTCCTGTCGACATTGCTTTGGTTGCGCAGTCCAATCCAGGCTCCACCTTGATTCCTTGCTAAGTCACTGAGTCTCTTCATATCTGTCATATCAAACACTTTGGCCAGGTCAGTGAACTCATCTCTGCAATGCGTCTGGGCTTCCTCCCAGCTCTTGTTCTGCTCAACAAAGTGGTACTCGTAGAGGCGACACAGGCAGAAGGAACACTGACCTGATAACAGAGATAATAAATGTGGTCAGTACTGGAGGAGAGAGAATAGCAAGAATGTTATAAAATTACATCATGCCCCTTCATTTAAAATGGGGCTCTGAGTGCACTTAAGCAGTGTGAGACGTACAATTGTTTTTAGCTGAAGTGATTCTAGCTAAAATAAATGAAAACAGCAGCAGATGATCCACTTACCCATCAGAATGAGCACAAACAGACTCCACTGCATGTTTGCTCTGTTAGATGAAACTGATATTTTAGTGTGCAGTGAACCAAACACAATGATTTTAACAGCTTGTCTCCATCTGTTTGTTCAGTTATAATAAAACACACGACCACTCCCTCCAGTGTACAAAGTTAAGTCTGATAAGGAAGAGGAATGGAAGGAAATATGCAAACTGTAGTCAAAACAGAACTAACAATATGCATGCAATAATGTTCTTCTTTTTATTATCCAAGGTCACTTATTTGAATAGTTTACAGATAATACAACAAACTAAAATGAATCTTTCTGTGTGAGCTTGTGATGTTCTGGTGTTTGCTTCTATTATCAGAATTATTGTCATTTTCTTCAATGTACAGGTGATACAAGCAACAAGAGGAACACCTTGTGAGATGCTGTCGGTCACGACAACGTATCAGTCAAATCAACGGACTTCTGACTCAATGTCATGAAACACTATACATTGCACTGTGAGCATTTATTCTAATTGATTGCATTTCATATTCAGGTGTTCATGTTATTGTGTCCACCACTTGTTAAAGCTAGAAAATTACGTATTTTACTGCAAAGTTGCAATTACAGTTGTGCTGTCGTTATGAATCATACCATAAAGTCTGGTCAAGTTTCTGTATTATGAGTGAACAAACCCGACTGTAAGTTATATTTAGTGTCATAGGAGGAGTAAGATATGCTGCTAATTAGTATTCACTAATACAACAATATAAAGAAATAAGCAGATTTGTTTTGTAAGTCAAATAAAAAAGTCAAAGTTTCATTCTGATTTGATGTTAGATTACGTGAAGTATGAACTGAAGAAAGACAATGTTGCACTGTCCACCTCTGCACAATAAACACTAGATTAAAATGACAGAAAACAATCGTAACTTACATCTTGTGAGTCTTCCTCTTAGACGCTTCACGCTGGTGTCTCTCCTCACGTACTGATGAAGACTCACACATCAACCAGGCAGGTGCTCTCTTTTAGCCGCCTGAACGCCAACATTTGAATATTGAAATACAGAAGTCGGAGACGTCCATTAGAGAGGAGAAAGGATCCATTGATGACAAGTCATTTACATGATGTAACAGGTAAACAGAGAGGAACACACACTTCCCTGTTGACCGTCCAACATGCAGAAAGAACGGCATCATTCCAAAGAAATCTACTCATGAGGAGAATACTTTACATTTGTGTAAACTGTTCTGAAAATACACAAATATTGTTTTGCCAACAATTCAATTTCTTTCTTTTTTTTGCCATGTTTAACACACGTTCTGTCTCTTTTTGAGCTCCTAATATTGTAAGTGTGGCAATATCATTTCCCCGAGTCCTATAGTTCCTGATGGCAGGTGACTTTTTGTGTGTGGAGCGGGAAACAAGCAAAGAATTTAGATGTTTTTTTTGTTTTTTCCACTTTAGGCTTAATATTTAATTCACCCTTTGATAGAGAGCCATGTATACAAGTCTACAGAGCTCTCTTTAACAAAGTGGTACTCGTAGAGGCGACACGGGCAGAAGGAACACTGACCTGATACCTGACCTGTTTTTCATGGGGGAAAAAACATCACATTTACATGAGCATAACAACACTGCACGACAAGAATGAAGACTCTTACGTGACGAATGAAGACGCACGTGATGTTGCAAAAGGCAAATTAGTGCACACTGTGGTTTGCAGTGAACACAAAGAGTCCTCGTCTTTCCCCCCCTCTTTCTCTTATCTGAATCACACTACCATGGACATACTCATGGTCTGGTGGCTTTTTGTTCATGGTTTTGTATCCCAGTGGACATCAGACAGTGTATGGTATTCATCTCCTGATGCTGACAGAGGGCTGCGTACATGTTTCACCATCTGTATTTTATTTATATTTGACAAAACCTGAAGACTAAACTTGAAAAAAACAAGATCAAGACCACTCATAAATTCATAGCTGTGCTCTATTTAGACACTGCATGGCTCTTAAAAAAAACTAACAGCTTCCCCATGAGTTAAATGATCATGATCATACATGGTTTGGCCTCTTAGTTCCAAGCAAGATAATTCTTATCTTAATCTATTCGATTATTTTATAAGCATGCAAGGTTTAGAAACAGGATAAAGATTTAAAAATGCAAACATTCAATTGCAAAACGGTTTTTCAAAACTACCCAAATTATTGCTATATAAACTTTAAGTCAACCTGCAGTCAATTTACTTTTCAATGTTTTTTCAGTTAAAGACATGAATAAGTCATTGGCCAGAGATCAAGTTTAATCCAAAAGATTTTTCCTCAGTAACATCAAGAGTTGAAGTCTGGTCCGCACAAATAAACAACAATTATCAAGTGTTATGCATTTAAATGGCTCAGTAACTGTGTTGACGAAGTTATATTATAATGTTATTTATTACCCAAGTTACATTCATGTTACATCTCTCCCAATTAAATTACAATAAATGATCTTTGTTTAATATTCAGACACATAATAAGATAACATTTTAAATACAAACTTCCAAACATGTGATGGGAAAATCTTGCTATCATTCAAACTTCTCATTCTTCAAATTCATATTCTTCAGTTTCATTCAATTGGCCCTTTTCACAGCAGCTATTTTGACATTTCATTAAAGGGTAAACACAGGTGTTGCATTCAGGGAGGCCGGAGCCCTGGTGTTGTGCTGGCTCACTGGAATGACGGTGACACAATCAGTTACACCTGTTCACCCTGCTGGCACATGGCTGCTGTGAAAAGGGCCTCAAGTCTCACATTTGCATTCAATAGCCTCACAAATAATACAAATAATTAAACAATTTAATGGAAAATTTACTTTATGGAAGGAAAATCTGAGAATATCGAATGAAACGGAATATTCTGAATTAACAGACCATTTCTGTGTTTGAAATCATCAAGCATTTTATTCACCGATACTCCTATATAGTAGACATTCACTAGTTTACGTTCAACTGAGATTTTGGGTATTAATGAGTCATCGTCTTGCATCATGACTGACAGGTGTCCTATTGCACGAAAATGTGCACATGATGCATTGAAACATTGCAGTGCACACGTCATGGATACTATACTTTTCCATTTTAATGTGCACTAATTGAAATAAATGATTTCATATACTACTTTACTTATTATACTTGCTAATATATAGCAATTATACTCATCATCTCTTCAGTTAGTAAATAGCACTTCTCTTACAGAAACAAGCAAGCTTTGAGAAGCTCATTTCTCAAAACAAAGAGGACCAAGAACAGACCCCTGTGGGACACCTATTCAAACTCTAACAGCACTTGGAAACTATACGACCAGGGTTCTACCAGAGATAACGATAATACCATTCAATGAACTCTTCATCCAGGCTACAAGGATAGTTCTCTTTTTTCAAATATTACATTTATATATATACTTTATAATATAGTAAAAAGGGAGTTATTCTTGGAAACATCCTATGTGAACGTTCATTCCTTATTCTTGAGTTTCTTTCAATAATTGATGTATTTCTTGTAATTTTCGGAGACCTTCACTTCATTAGTTTTTAAATTGCATGAGCAGAAACACTATATACAGCATCTATATATACAAAGACGAGTGACAAATTAAAGGGAAAAACCTTGATAAACGGCTAGAGATACCAAATTCAGATACTTCTATAGGGCTGTAATACATGACACAATCAGTCTGTAGCTGATCTCAGACTACTAGTTCAAAGACTTTCTCTTTGGGTCTGTGTGCGTCTTGTATCGTTTTCTGTTCCAGGTTGTGGCTCTTGCCTGTAAGCATCACAGGGGTCCTCCACTCTTCCTCTCCCTTTGCTTTCACTGGCAGCTGTAGCCGAGTGTGGCCGACTACGATGGCATCGACATCCTGAAGATAATCTTGAATGCAAGTATCTGCATTGGTGTTATCTTCCACCATTGCCTATAAGAGCTCTCGCGCTCTACACATTTTCTTTATGTTCAAATATTATAGAGGTTTTTAATTTTAACCCTCCGCTGGTACCAATTGTGCGAATATTTTTTTGTTTCTTACTTATTAAGTTTGTGTGGCATAATTTAGTGTCCATCCCTTAATAAAATCCGGATTCATTGGCAGTAGAAAGTGAGCACGTTCTGCTGGTTTCCTCGTATCAACACCGCGGGGCAGTGGAGGCCACAGGTCAGAGTATCCAGCCAGGCCATGTACAGAGCACTGGTGCAGTCTCTGTGTGGCACAGGAAGGCTCCTGAGGAAAGAACCATCACATTTACATGAGCATAACAACACTGCACAACAAGAATGAAGACTCTTATGTGTTGAAAATGTTGCAAAAGGCAAATTAGTGCTCTAAGCATCATCTGAGCACTGAATGTTCTTGCTTTTGACTATTTGCTGTTCGTCCGTGTATTTATGTGGTGACACTTTTACCCCGCGTCAAAGAGATTAAAAATGTCAATGGGATTATTCGAGCTGAATATAGGTTGGATGAAATAAACAAAACAAATACAAGCGTTTAACCCTATTCAGCATTTAGTAAATGTTTATAACACACTATAATGTAGTTGTAAGCACACATACTTGTTTATACATGTAAAATATGTCTTCCATGTAACAAATGCTGTCCTTATATCTGCTCACAGCTGCATTATAGTGTTCTATAAAACTTTTAATACATGTTAATGTAGCGCTTATAAACGCTAAATTGTATCTTATCTTTTTAAATAATTTTCCTCCAAAATATCTACTAATATCAAAAATACTGACCAGTTTGAAGTCAGAGGGGCAGAGTCCCAACATGTCATTTATATTAAATATGCAGAATTTGCAGGAAATGTAATGAGTCTTGATATCCTCGTTGATCATAACTGAACTGTTCATGTGAACTGTGTACTCACACAAGCACGAGAGCAGCATGTTGAGAATTCCTCCGGATGATCTCATTCAGCCTCACTTTTCTCTTAGACTGTGAAGGAGGGGAAATTCATTTGAGACATTTGGAAGAGCACACCGAGCAGAATCAGATTATATTTTCTTCATTGCTCCCAATTTACAGGAGAACAAGGACAACAAAGTTGAACAAATAAAGGCAAAGAATAGAAAGTAGCTATTATGTAAACGTATATTATTCATATATAAATATAGTATACATAAATACTGTATATTGACACCAATGACAACAGCGACAGTATGTTTGCTGACCTGAATGTACACACACACACACACACACACACACACACACACACACACACACCTTAAGTTTGAAGGCCTCAAACTCTTTGTCCGATATTTTCCATGGGGCACTTTGTCTCAGTTCCTGAACTGAGACGCCTTCCTGCTGTTCATCGTGTAGCCTGAAGGGGGCGACACTGTCCACAAACCTACCGAGGCTTAGAGGCGGCAAGAGCAAACGGACAGAAGTGAGCAAGCGATGAAGGATAGAGATAAAATGTATTGAAATTACAAACTGCAGTCTGTAGTATATAACATTTTTTATGTGACTATAGCATTTGTTTGGGAGCGGAGCAATCCATGATTGTCATCTTGAAAAGCAACACTTTTTGTTGCCAGAGTCAAAACAAATAAGATACTGCACATGGTGCCTTTCATTTTTTGTAATTTGATTGTTTAAAATAAAGCTAAACCTAAAACAGTGAGGGTGAAAGCCTTTTATTACAGATCGATCCCCTCCTGTATCAGTGCAAATGTTCAGTGAATGTTATGACAGCGAGGGTTTTATGGAAATACTTTTTGGCGTTTGGATGCCTCTCACTGTCCGTCATGACTGTGACGTTGTTAAAATCCAAGCGAAACCTCTTCAGCAGAGCGATCATCCTAAAAGAAGAGACAGTCAAAGTATCAGCACACAAACACAACACACTCTGATCTATAATGTACATGATAGTGCCCTCTTTCAATGGATTGCACAAAATACCCCAGAAATCTACCAGATTACAATCTGCAGCAATCAACCTGCATGAAAAAACGTAATAATATAAATAAAAAATAGAATTTAAATGATTTGAAAAAGATACAGTATAAATGAAGATCAAAGTCCTCACTGGACTGCAGACCAACAGGTGATTTATTCCAAAATTCGACACACAAGATATGAAGTTTTACTTTTTTTCCAACATCACATGAACACCTACTCGTTGCGGCCTTCCTCCATGTTTTGCTCATCTCCTACGATGAAGACCCTGATCTTACTGCGGTGCCAGCGTTTCCTCCTGGTGAGCAGGTAAGGAACCAGCAGAGTCAGACCTTTCAAAGAGAAGAAGCGGATCGGTTATCACACATATTAACAACAAGTCGACTCGTGTGCCGTGCTTGCTTTGTCAGAACTCACCTCCGTCATCAGCTATCCAGTAGACGTCGATGGTCTTCTTCCTCTGGTCGTTCTGAAACACCGTCTTGTTCTGATCACTGTCGCCTCCATCGGAGATGTCGTCCGCTATAACAGAAAGAGGAGGAAGAGTGAGGCGGGGGGGGGGGGGGGGCAATATTCATGATGACTCTGAGTCTATGTTCACAAGCCAGCCTCTAGCATTGTCTGTCTGCTAATTGGTGCCGAGCAGGTCGTGCGCAGTGGGTTTTTAGGGCTCTTTCAGTACATCGCTAAATGTAGAGGGTGATGACGTCAGGTATGTGTGACCGACCGAGGGAGCATGTCAGTAAGGAAGTTAATGAGTAACTGAGGAAGGGAAGGGGTGTGTACTTTATTATTACTGTGTTTGAATCACGTAGGAATGACTGCTGTAATATCAAAAAATAATAATGTAAATCATATGTAAATACTATGCTCACCCGATTCCCTCCCAGGAGATTGCTGGTCGTCATTTTCAACAGATTCATCCGGCTCAAAGCCCTGGTTCACTGGAGGACAGGCAATACATTCCCCATCATCGTCTTTGTTTTGTTTTGTTTAATATTCTACTAATATGTTATGTTGTAGGAAAGCATGCAGAGGAAATAAAAGACGAAGAGATTACAAAGTCTGGATTTGAAACCTTCAAAATCTAACTGGTCAGAGACATCCAGCCCGTCCATCATCCTCAAGATACACAAACAGTAGTTGGCGTCAAAGGTATCGCTGGAGAAAAGAGAGAAGGAAGTGAAAATGGGAGTTTTAAAATGGAAATGGGGATGCAAATTAATAACAAAATGAATCTTACTGCACGTTATAGAGGCTGGATTTTAGTTTAGCAACAATGAATTTTCAAATAGTGCAATATTTCCTCACACTGTAGAGAGCTGTGTAATCTTTCAATGCCACTAAAAACCGAGAGAGTCAACTGCTTTATTTAACTTTAACACTTACTATATAGTGTTGATATAATCTTCAATACTTTGAGGTGAACTGTCCCTCCAGTTTGCCTTGAAGCCCAGGACCAGAGTATTGGGCTTCAGCTTGCCAAGACCAGAAGCCTTAAAAAATTAAATACAAATAAAAACACAAAAGATATTATGCAGGTATTCCCAGGATGATCAAATGTTTGTAATACTTTGCACCCAATAGAAGGCGTGTCCTGCAAAACAAATGAGAAGACGTCTAAATAGTAAAAAGACAGAACCGCGAAGATGAGATGATGGAACTTGTCGTCATCGTGATCCGAATTTGAAGTCGGATAAACTCAGTTAAAGTGCTTTGTTCCCCACGGATTTAAACACATGCAGACGTTTCACCTGTAGCAAGTGTCGGGCTCCAACTCTGAGGCTGTCGGCAGTGAACGGAGTGTAAAAGGAGCGCACCTTCCTCCTGTTCATCCACTTCACCAACAAATCTGTGGCGTCCTGCGGCCGAGTCTGCCTGTCGTGCTCCTAGAGGGGTCGGGAATTCAATTACGTCTTTTACATGATATAATAATGAAAGACGTAAAAACAAGCTAACATGACCTAACATGATAACATGATTAACATAAAGGATATGTATCATCTCTCATATATCACTGACCATGATTATGTCTCCACAGATCATGAGGCTTATGTGTTTGGTGAAGGAGCCGACGAAGTCCACCAGTGCCGGTCGCTGGTTTGGTGGCCCAGTCAGGACGAGGCATTGTGGTCTGACGGAACACAGATCAGACTCCAGTTCAAAGATGGATGAGACAAATGCCACAGACAGAAGACTGTATGCTGACGCGTGAGAGGAGGATTACTGATGCATGACATAACACTCACCTAAAATTCTTGACGTGATCCTCGACACCAGACAAAGAAACGGAGTACGACAAAGCCATGTTGTATGTACCGGCCTGCACTGACGAACCCCAGTTCACCTCTGAGGACACCGAAAAGACACACACACACACACAAGTGAGGTGTTTAAGGAAGAGCAGAGAGAGCGGTTGTTGCTTTTTAGACCATACAGTGTGTTTTGAACTTACGGGGCTTTTTGTAGTTGACGTATCCAAAGAGCAAGAAGATGATGCCGAAGGTGGTGAGCGCCGCCCACCAGGTGAACATGATCATCAGCACCACAGAGACCACAGCTCCAAACAAAGCTGTCCACTTACTGTAGTAGTGAAACGACGGCCTCCAACCTAAAGGGGGGGGGGGCAACAATATGAAATATGACTTTCGAGTGGCGCAAGGTGACCTCTCACATGACCTGACTCTGTCCAAGACGTTGACGATTCTTTTTTTATATTTCATTGTGTAAGGGAGGGATTGAGATTCTTTATACTTTTAGTACGTCCTGCTGCTGCTGCCAATTACAAAGTGCGTACTGTTGCATGCAGTATGCATTTAATTGCTCTTTCGGCTGCGCAGAGGATTGTGGGTCGGAATAGTGATGAAAGCGTGCACGCTAGCTTGCATGCTGCAAATTGCGACCGGAATTTGCAGCATGTTGGTTTCTTTTAACCACGACAGCAATGTTTCCGTAACCTAAATCTCGGCCATAGCGGCCACTGGACAGTTCCCATCGGTCGTTTTGGAAGGCCATGACAAACCGGTAGCTCACCGGGGGAGTTGGTGATTGAAGCGTAAAAGCAGCTGAAGTTGATGAGGCTGTAGGAACACAGGAAGAAGTTGGAGATCAAGGCCGCGATGGTGTTCAGCTCAGCTGTAACGATGAAGGAGGGAGAAATCAAAAAAACGCATTGCACATCCAGAGCCAGATGAAGGTCATCAAACTTACGAAATTTCTCCTTACTTCAATATTTAATCATTATAACAACAACAAAAACACCTTATTGGCATATATAAACAAATATGTGAATTAATAAAAACTATAACGTAAAAAAGCAGCAGTATTAGATTGCACCCACCAATGAGAACGAAAGCCACAGCGACGAGGTAGCAGAGTACATAGGCCCGGAGGGGCTCCTCATTTTTCCCATAACCCTTTGCAAAGAATCCAATGTACGGGTAGATCTCGTCTCTGCATAGACACTGGCAGAGAAGGCAGACAATATAAGCTCATTATTTTGTTTCATTGTTATCTTCGATGACAGAATTGCATATTTTTGTACGTAAAAGTGCAATTTAGAACAATTTCGGTTTCTCACCTGAAAGACTTTAGGGGCGGAGACGAGGAAGCCGAGGGCAGACGACAAGCTGGCTGCAAAGACACCGGCAGTGATGAGGTAGGAGAAACCTGAAACTTGGCCCAGTACCTGGTTGGAATAGGATTAACATTATCATATTTTATATAACTATTTGTGAACAGAGATTGAAAACTGGCTTATTTTACAAAGCCAGTCTCAAACCAGAGTTTTTGATTTAAAAAAAGTTAAAATTATATTTTGATTCTGTGAACTTGATACCTTTGTATTGTTGGCCAGACCGTATTCACAAGACTGCGACTGGATGCACTTTGTGAAGTTCCAGCCCAGGTTACATCCCAGACCCACGCAGCCGTCGGTGATGTTTCCAGGCAGAATGTCACTCATGTTCCCGGAGGCGTCCCGCAACACACATGACCCTGGAGGAGGATGAAGATGTAAACATTATAGTCCTGATGCAATGTTAGACGGAGAACTTGACACCTTTTTGTTTTGTTTCTGGATACTTTGACATCTAAGAGGAGTCGGCTGCCAAAAAAAGGAAAACGATAAAGCCCTCTTTTCACAACTCCAATGATTACTTATAGCTCTTTCACATCTTGGATGATTCTTTGTAGACTAAACACCAACTGGACTTTATATTGGCACCATTATGAGTTAAGAAAAGTTGACCTCTGTATTTTACCCATCCCAGCATATTAGGAGCAGTGGGCTGAAGCGCCTGGGCAGCAATTACGGGTTCTGTGTCTTGCTCAAAGACACTTCGGCACAGGACACATATAGCAGCCAGGGATCAAACCACCAACCTACCAGACGACCCCCTCTACCCCATGAGCCATGGCCGCCTGCCCTTAATATGAGTGTTAAATCCTCAGGCCCCATGTCTTCTGTCTCTCCTCCCAAACTACCAGGCACCTCATATAATCCCCACCAGTTCAGACAATTAAATCAAACCAAATGAGAAGCAAAGCAATTCAAAATGAAAGCACTGTTGAATGAGTAGCTTACCAACAGTTACAGGGATAATTATATAGCTGATTGTAGTCCAGAAAATGGCCATGAGGGTGCCTTTGGGGATAGCAGTAGCAGGGTCCTGCAAAAGGAAATCGTACACAGGTCAATATTTTGTTGGTGCCTGTGATGTAAAAAAAAAGTATCTTTATTCTTTTTCTTCATACTTTGAGGTCTCCAGAGATGTTGGCCCCAGACAGGATGCCAATGGCAGACGGGAAGAAAATGGCAAACATCTGGAAAAAGTCGTCCTCAGGTCTTCTCCAGTCTGGCATCAGGTTCGATATGAGGATATCACCTGGTGACAAGCAGAAAGAAAAACACTCTACTGCTCTCTGATAAACTTAAAGATATACACTAAACTTAGGATGACATGTTCTATTAAATGGCAGTGTGTCCCGAGAAGCCTGAACATACTACGGTATCCAAAGATGCCCTGGGCTTGTTTCTCTTGAGTGGCGGGTAAGAATGTGCCCACCAAGAAGTTGCCAAATGAAACCAAGATAACTATAAAGAACAAAATCTGAGCCTGAGAAGACAGAGACAAATGAGAGAGAAGGAGAAAAAAAAAAGAAAAAACATATGAGTAAAAGGTAGTCAGCGAATAAATCGAGATGTGTCAGGATGTGCTCACCTTGGACTCCCATTCCATTCCAGCCAATGAAACGAGCAGAAGAACAGTCACCGTGATCACGCCCACAATGCGCACGTCATTGATCGAATCGACCATGACAACACCAAACTCCTACATTAAAACAACCAAATCATTCACATAAACACAAGAAACCAAACATGAAATGTATATAGATTCAAGTTTGGGTAAACCTTGTGGGGATCATGCTCATATTACAATACTCATTTATTTATTTCAGGTTGTGAAATTCTCCTATACATGGTGGCCAAACTACGACTAGTGGTCCAACAGCAACAGCATATTATTTCCAATAAATTGTACTGTATTCACACTGCACCTCTTTAAACACTAGATGTCGCTGCAATTTTGAACATCTTACTTGACCTGATTACTAGTCGATGAAAACGTTTACCTTAGTTGATTAGGTAAACATGGCAGAAAAGAAAAGACGGAAGATGGCGAGTAAGAAAGCTATGTTTCTAGCTTAGAGAGCTAAAATGGTAAACTGAAAACATAAGAAAGGTGTCATGGGATTCTTGCCTTGTCAAATATCTGAACCCTCAAGGGTTACGTAAATTGAACTATCACGCATCAATTTTTCGAGCCATAATTACCTGCATTAAATCACGGACCACCTCTGCAAAGCCAACGGTGTTGAGTGCACAGGCCAGGGCGTTGGCGAAGGAAAACACAACCCCAATTGGACCTCCAATTTCAGGGCCCAGAGAGCGGGAGATCATGAAATACGCCCCACCTGAAAATTATGTTCGATCAAAAAAAAAAAAGTTACACAGAAACAAGGTTATCATAGATTACTGTAGATCAGTAGTTTTAAATGAGGCAGGAAAAAATACTAATCAATAATTTATTATGTTATAAATTTACATATTCATTTTGTTCCTTTGTATTCAATATGTTTTAGTTCAAATACAAGTTTCCAATTTTTGAAGGTCCAATTAGTTATTTTTAATTGAGAAAAATAGAAGTGCATCACACATTTAACACATGAACCAATGTTCATACACTGGATAAAACCAACACATTACTGCAAGCATCGTCGTGTCGAATGTTTTCAAGCCTTAGCACTCTTCGAGTGCACGACGTTGCCCGGACTTTGAGACACAGCAAGTGACTGACCTGAGGTCACCCTCCCGTTGGTGGCGATGGCAGAGATGGAGAGGGCAGTTACTGAGGTCACCATCACAGACATCAGGACAATAAGCCAGGTCAACACTGAGATGAGACAAATGAAGTTATGCATCATTACTATCAGGTTTGAGGTTTCATGGCATGTTTCTCCATCTTTGCCAAAGAAAGGCCGGTTACTGCTACTTTTTGGCCTCTGCATGAGCAGATGGATGTACTTTACATGCATAATTGCCATAAAACAATAAGTATGTAAGTAGGCCGGTAGGCCCGTTCAGTCTCTTGGTTGTAGCGTTTTGTAAGGTGGAAAAAAAGTACTGTAAGTAATGTACATGAAAGAGGTGGTGAATCAGTTATAGTCATCACTGACCACTGAAAAAACAACTTCAGGGTTTTACCTGAGATGAAACTCTACCAGCAATGTGCGCACACTATTCTCATGCAACATAATGCGTAAAGGTAAACTAACTAAAGTCATATGAGAGGGCGAGCGTGACGCAATGGACTGTTACAGCCAGAGAACAGAGGAGGGAAAAGGACTAATGTATGGAGGGATGAATGAACTCACAAATGCCGGCCCGAGATGTGATCCACGAGAGGCGGAGGAACAGGATGACTCCCCAAATATTCAGCATGCAACGAACCTGTGACGAAAGTACGATAAAAACAGCTCAGTAAAATATTTGCTGAGATATGTCAAGTGTTATGTAGACTACAGTCAAATACAAGTTTGCTCACCATGACTCCAGTCACCCAGCCAAATCTAACAGGACCTTTCCCCTTAGCTGGTGATTCTTCATTCCCTCCGTCTGGAGCACTGCCAACTCCTGAGTCTGTATTGGGGACCTCGATATCCGCCTCCGACTCCTGAGAAAAATACATTTTATACAGTGAAAAACATTTTAAAATAGCCTGATGATAATGGTGGTGTGAGTGGAAATGTATTCACAGCAATGGTCTGCTAAGTTAGATGATGCAAGTTGCCTGTGAGCTGGAAAACCTACCTCAAATGACCTGCGGAGAACCTCAAGAGATGGACGGCTCCTGGACTGGCGGTTTGGCAGTGTGCTGGCATAATGCTCCAGCTGTGGCACCAGGTCTATCGTGCTGTAGACGGAAGATCGCCGCAGCTCCATCCTGGAGCCCTGCTGCTCTGATGCACTGTTGGATAAGAGGCGTTGTTTAATTAAAAAAAAAAGTATATATATATATATATATAAAATAAAAATAACAGCAAATATTGCAGTAAATGTTGAAGGTAATTTGCAATTGTCATGAGCTGCAGTCCCTTTAATGGCCACTAGACGCTGCTAGATGCTGAGAAAGTATTGTGACGTGACAGAAAAAGCTTTGCAGGCTTAAAAATACTATCTTTATGACTTTGGGAAGTGAAAATGGACACGGCAGTAAACATCACAAACCTTGAATCCGTGTCCGAGACAACAATGGTTGGAGGAAGTTGGAGGTTACCATCTCTAACTTCACCCGGGGCGAACCCATCACGTTTGGATGTGAACTGCCCCATCGGCACGTCTCACTGATTCCTGTGAGACAGAATGGATAAAAAGGGCTGACAATATAACGAGCAAAATATGAGAAAACTTGTTTTTACAGAAATGATGAGATGCCACCTTGGTCCTCTAACAGTGACCACGTCTTTAACTAACTGTTACTAAGTCACATTGGTCTCACTTGATCTCAACTGAGGTGGTTTTAGTTCGATCTTGACAGGACTGATAGGTCACGCAAAAGTCAGAAGTGTTGTTGGGTCTCTTGGTAACTCATAGAGGCAACGAAAAGGTTTATTCCATTCACATTCGTTGTTTTAAATAAAAACACATTCATACTCCCAACTTGTCAAATACCGCTGCATGGTCAGTGGCCCTGAGCTTTAAACTATTACCCTCTAGGTACCCCTCAACTATTTTTGATGTGTCATGGATGGCGTGTTGGTTTCCACTCGTTACATGCAGTGTATTTTCAAAATAAACTTCCGTGTGCATGAAAAGTGTTGGTTTTGTAGGTTAACTTTGTTTTTAAGGTTTATTTTTGAAACAGAAATGGATGGTTGGGTTTAGGAAAATATTGTAGTTTCGGTTAAAACAAACTATGTCAAGTAAAATAATTCAGTTTATTATGTAGCAGGAAGGACACTAACAACGGTCTGCAGGGTGAAAGTCCTGTGTTCGTTTTTTGTTCATTTTCAAACTTGAAGTCTTCAGTCTCAAACGACACTGACTCGACATCAGTTGAGGCAATTTGTCATACTTTGCGCAGGAGCAACAAAGGGCTTTATAGAATTATTTTCATGTATGCAGCAAGAACTGTAAAAAGACTGACGTGTAAATTGTTGATCAGCGCAGCTTTAAATACATCTAGTCTCCACTGTAACCCTGTTGGTCTATTTAAGCTCATACATGTTTTATTTCACTGATGCTGATTCATACTGTTCAATGAACTCTTTCTCGTTTGACTAATTACTGATGAAGTGCAAGTCTTGAATGCGTATGTGGGTGTCTTCTGTTCTACTGAGCTCATCTATGAGGCACCTGCACAAGGAATGGAAAATGTGCAATTCTTTAATAATCTGCGAGACAAATTTCCCTGTACGCATTTCTTTCAAGTAAGACAAAGATACATTGTTATAGATTGTTGCAAATATAAAAGATGTAATATATTTATCATATTATTGTAATAACCTATAAATGAATATATCAGTCGGCATCTGGTTATATTTTGATCTAAATTAATGTATATGCATGCATTGATGAGTGGGAAGTCAAACAGTGAAAAGAAATAGTAAACTCACAGCAATAACTGAAAGTATATTAAACCATAATACACATTTTAAATATGATTAAGCCTTTAAATGATACTGACATCTGAAAACAGTTAATTAGTAGGCTATTTAGAAGAAAACAAGTTTACAGTACTCACCAGGTTTTTCCTATTCCAGATGAATACGCTGTTGTCAATGGATGAAATATGTTCCTTTGATTTCACACTGCGACACTTTACATTTATACCTTCACGGAGGGGACATCCCCTCCCATCTTACCTCACCTTCCTCCCTTCCCTTCCCCTCACACACACACACACACCTCTTCATTATTTACACTAAAAGAAATGGAAGATAATATCACGAAAGGTCATTTTGTTTTATTCTGATGTCTTAGTTCATGCCAAAAATTCTGTTACTTGAAATAAAGCATGACTCAACTTACGATGAAGATAACATCTTTTCAACTTGAAATAAACCTTTAAACAAATTGGTTCACACACACTCATCTTTACATTATTTTTCAATGTCTGTTGTCAATATTATTTAAAAAAAATAAAAAAAATTCAGAATTGTATTTTATTACTATTTGTTCCAGATAAATGTTTTTGAATAATTTTGAAAAAAAATTACAAGAACTTCAAAAAATGTTATTCCATTTTTTTTTTTTTTTAAATACAGCACTAATCCTGAATGGCTGCATATTTTCAATTGCCCTGAGATGAGGCAACAGCTGGGCGGAAGAGTTTGTTTCCTGACTCAAGCTACGTTTTCTCAAAATTGTTGACTGGAGATGACCTAGTCATGTGTACATGTCAATATGCAAACTCCAGGTCCTCCTCCGCTTTCACTAATAGATGCGGAAGAAGTATAAAGTGTGATAACAGTACTCTGCGCCATTTCTTACCTTCAACTCTTCAGCGTGGACTTCAACAGTTGTTCTAAAAAGACAGTTTCGTTATAGTTAAATGTCTCTCGAAAGACATTCTCAAGATGTCAATCAATATCGATTCAAAAACTAGCAAATAATTGTCTAATTTTAAACAATTTGTGTAAACAACAGATAGTGAGGTACATTAAAATACCTAACATCTACACGCATGTAAACTCATACACATACTGTTTTTATGTTTTAAAATATGTGTACAACTTAGAAACAACAGTAGCAGTGCTTGGGTTGTTGTTGATGTTGACACATTTCAAAATCAATAAAGTATAAATATTCTCCCATGAAAAAAAAGAATAACAAAAAAAAAGTAGCCTCTTTCATTTTTAATCTGCATTAAAAAAGACAACGTTATGTCAACCTGTTTTCGCTTTGGTCTAAGAAAAATGTTTAGACTCCATACTGACTTCCTTATTTAAGGTAAGAAACTTCTTGCAGTGTACGTCATATTACCCAGCTATTATTAAACCTGCACTCTACGTGTTCACAATGCCATTGTGCCTTGGTCAAAGTCACTTGTTACACCCACACGGGAAGAGGAATCACTAAAGTAGGCGTCTACGCAGAGGTCTTGGGATATGAAAAAGTGAAGACTCTACTTAAAATAATTACTGTGTGATGCTCGTGTCATTATTGGCAAAATCGGATAGAACTCTATATATATTTACCTCTATGAGACCCTTCAGACACCCAGAGTTGTGCAACAGAAGGATGTTTGTGTATGGAAACATTCTCTTGCAGCATTGCCAAAGAAAGGCGACTGACTCGCTCGTGACCTCCGTGAACTTGGAAGCATCCGTCATAATGACTCCGTTTGCAGTTCACTTTGTCGGTGAGGTTACATTAAGAGAGCATCACAAGGGCGATGTATAAGGGTCTGATGACAAAATAAATATAGGTGGAATGACTGTGCATGTGAACTTTCCAAGAATGCAGCGATCACACGGTTCCTCCCTTGGCTCTCCCTTTTTAGCACTCTGACAGGAAACGAGCTGTCGCCTGCATCGTGGCGAGCGGGTGGACCAGGTCTCAGTCGGTACAGCGACACTTTATGGAGACCGAAAAGGACGAGGAATGAGAAGGGGTAAAGATGGAAAAAGTAAAACCAGATGTGGATGATGTTGGGGCGAAAAGGAACCCTACGAACTCTCCACCAAAACCAAAAACATGATGCAGCAGATTCCAAATCAATCAAGCAGACACTAAAGCATGTCGCCCTCTTCAGAATCCCCCTTAAACCCTCAACAAGGACCCAGATCTCTTCTCTTGCATCCTTGTCCTGGGACCCTCGCACTGGATATGGATAAACTTATCAATAGATGTCATGTGTATAGAATGAACATAATAAAAATTACAACATGGTCCATCCCTTGGACAGAAATGATACACATGAGAGCAGTAGAAGCACCAATAACGGCAGAAGAAAAAACAGAAAAATGATTACTACTACTTAAAACAGCAGCAGTGGGTACAATAGAAAGATAAGAATAGTATTAGTGGGTGTCGGGCACAAACATGGTCCAGTTAGAACCACGATCCATGGAAACCTGCGAGGCGAGAAAGCATAACGACTCCGGGGAAGAACTTAGAGGCTAAATGTAAGAGGGAGGTGTTATAGGGGCATCAGTGACAGATGATAATAATGGTGGAAACAGGTGCCTTGTGGAGACGTCTTCTTACTTTAAAGTTACCGTGGGGAACTTGGAGCTGGATGTGAAACGGTTTCAATTGAATTCTGATGCCTTTATATGACCTATATTAGTAAATATTTCACACAGTCCAAAAAAATAAAACCCCTTCAGGGTCGTCTCGGTGTGACACAGCTCATCTCCTCATGCTGATCCTGGAACCTCCCAGGTGTTTTCCATCAGTTACTAAGTATGTGTGGTGTCAGTGATACTCACCTCCAAACACTCCTACCTACCAAACTAAAAGACTTTTTCTTTGATAACGATGAACTGAGAATTCGTCCCATATCCAACAACTGGCCATCCAGCACGATTATGCAACACCCGGCTGGATGTTTTGAAAGTTCACAGTTCAAAAACTTGACTTTAGGGAGAGCTGTTGGGCACTATAACAAAGAGATGAATCAAACATCAGTCACCATCAGTGTCAGACTCCTCGCTATCCACACATTTTCGTTCCACGCTGCTCTCAGCCTGTGTCGATTTGTCTCTGTATGTCTGGGAGCGACTACTTGACATGCTGGGACAAAGGGACTACTTTTCTGCTGAGCGTCTGGACCGTGAGGTCTTTGTTGGTAACGACCAACATCAGGTTCAATACTAAAGGATTCATCAAGTTAAGTGGTCATCCATCCCTGTCCCTGCCTCATCTGTCACCAGGGGAAATTATACTTAATGAGCGGTTATATGTGGCGGGAGGGTCTTTAGCAAACACAGCAAGGGATACAAAGTGGGTGCATCGCTGTGGGAGCTTTATGCCTCATCCATACACAGATCTGGCAGCTTGTTCCTTGTCACTTCCTGAAGTCTTTTATAATTTAATCACTGGTTGATTCTTTTGTCTGGCTCAATAAATCCCAAGGAGCTGTCATTTATACAAACTAAAACAATGAATGAGATGTTGTTGAAGGAACTACACAGCTAGAGGTGGGGGTTTCAGGGCAACCAGGGTTGGCACATCAGAGACACAGTCTGAGAAGAGGAGTCTGAGACAAGTCTGTGCAGTTTTGAGCATGAGTCAAAGCACATCAAGGTAGGCTAGCACGTCATGGGGGGGCTCATCGGCCTGAAAACAGTTGTATGATGTCTTTTGTGGGTCTGCAGGAACGTCTTGAGTCTGATCTCATCATGACGCCATCGGAAACCCTGCGATACAAACCTTTTGAGATTGACAGACGTGGGCAGGAAGGATGTGAGGGGGTCGGATGCAATTGGTTGCACCTTGGGAAATGTAGGACATCAAATTAAATGGACTGACGCTTGTGTAAATTCCAACAACGCAAAATAAATTTGTAATCTTTTGACTCTCCAACACTTCAGTTTAACCACTTCAATCCAAAATGATGCTCAACGACGTCACACAAGCCACAACGAGTACTCTACTTTTCGCAACACTTTTGTCCTATTTATCTGTTCACAAACAGCTTCCTGTCATCAGTGGTAGAAGTCGACTTCAGTTAGAACTGAGCGTGGGTGTGTAGGTGTGTGTATGTGTGTGTGTGTTGGACAGGCAAATGTTAAGATAATAACAGGTTCAATTAAAGTCTAATTATTTTGTATTCCTATTCATTAAAGACCTTCTCTTCTGGTTGCTCTTTGCCTCTTTATCTTCTTGCGTATTATAAACAAAGACATCACTCTAAAGCCATTAGCTTAATTGCTTTACAGGTTTATAATCTTTTACCATTTATTTAATCTCCAAGTCTTCCGTTTCTGAGTAATAACTCCAAATCTGCAAAGTCTTGAAAGAGGAATAACACAAAGCGATGATATTTGACCTGCAATCGTGCATTTGTTCTCCCAAATCATGTAAAGTTATCAATTCAGCAGTGAGACATATAGCTAGAAAAATAAATATTAAACAGAGTAGCAAGGAAATGAGGCAAACAGTAGTTCTTGACATCTGAGTTCTCTTAATGTAGATCACTGATCGAATCATTGCTAATGTTTGAGAAACTATTAAATATTTTATCTATTTGACGTAGTACTCTTTCCTGATCAGCTGCTTCTTCCTTCATGGTTGTACTTTGTCTTTTGTTGCTCCTTCAGACACAAACTAATTAGAAAATTCAATGAAGTATCATTACAACAGATTACTTTTACTTCAACATCACCTCATAAAAATGTTGTTTTCCGTCATTTCACATTGTACGTACAACTATGCCAACAACTCTTCAGCTCCATATCAAACTCTTTTATTCTGCTGGGCTTAAACGCAGTCCAGAGGGTCATTTAGGCCTTCAACAAAACAGGATTAATTCCCTTTTAGAAAACAGGAGGCTCGCATGGTTTTCAAACAGGTCCACCAGGTGGCAGAGTATGGAAAATTAAGTAACAAAAGACGAAATTAAAATCCTTAAACCACATCTCGTGGGTTTCCTCAGCAGACGGATTGGGTTTATTCATTGTTATCTTGTGACCACAGGATGAAATTGCAATCAAGTAGTTGTAGATGTGGTGGGGATGGTGAACCCTCCGTCTGGCAGAAAGCATCAAAGACACCACACAGTCTAAGTGTCTTGTTGCTATACTGCTGACTATAGGCATAGTTTGGTGTCCTGTGAAATCCAAAAGTTTTCAGTGCCCTTACCTAAGGCAATGACCTGGGAGTGGATGTGTGGATGTGTGGCAGTGTGTACAAAAGAACAGAACTCAAACACAGACCAACTGTGTCAAGCCAGTGACACAAAGGATCTTCCTCCCCGAGACAAGGCCGCCGAATGAAGGAATGTTTAAGGGCACACACACCAGCTCAGGTGTGGCTCATACAGCTGATGACCCTCCAATCAGCCCCCGCAACAGACAACTACATGCACAGCAACACCTCATGTATGAGAGGTGGAGGGTCGTCATAAAGGTCAAGAATGAACCTTCGAGCTTGAGATTCTTCAAGGTCCTGTACAAGGAGAGTGTGTGGTTGTGTAACATTCTTATTTAACATTTTCTAACAGCACCAAACCTCTTGGTTGCAACTTGGCCGTTTATTAAAGTCAGGGGTTGTGAAATCGTGGTCAGAGATGATGCAGGTAAGAGCGAAGGGAAGGATGTGTTGGTGAAATGTTTCATATGCAATGATCTGTTCATGAGGCTGGACATTGCGTAAGTGAAAAGGACAATTTGTTTTGCAAGCCATGTACATCATGTGCTCGTTTCGACCTCTTGTGCAAAATACACTGCAGCAGAAATTCAATATTTAGAAAGCTTTATTAAGTTAACAAATGATGTCTTTTGTTTTTGAAATGTAAAAACACGTCTAGAATCTATTTGATAATTTACATATCCAAATATAGGTTATCATTATGTAATTAATTGGCATGCTTTTTAATACAAAAGAGACATAAAATATACAAACAGATGATTGGTACACTGCTTTGAATAGAAAAACAAGCAAACACAAGTAAGAATGTTTTCTGGGTGACGGTTTTATTTGTGAACAGTCCTTTCTTCTCCAATGGCATGCTAGCTCTGTGAGGCTATATACTTAGGAATAGTGGTGCTTTGAGCTAAATGCACCATCTTACTTTAGCGTGTTAGCATGCTCGATTATTACCACTAGACACAAAGTACAGCTGAGGCTGATGGGAACGTCGCTAAATGCGCTACAGGTATTTGGTCATGAACATTAATGTGTACACCAAATTTCACGCCAATCAATCCGATAGTTGCCGAGGCATTTCACTCAAAAACCACAAATGGCAACCTCGTGGTGGCGCTCCGGCAAAAGTCTGGATCACCGAAGCCTTTGGGATTCATCCTCTGGGGAACATGAATGCGTGTACAAAATAAGTGCCAGATCTATTTAATAGATGTTTTTTTTTTTTTTATACGTCATTGGATAAGTGAAAACTTTGACCCTCTGGTGGTGAAGTCATTATGATTCATCCTCCAGGGACCATGAGTCTGTGTTGAATCATTTAATTAAGAAAAATAGTCCAGGGAAGACAGCTTGAGTTTGGAGCTTAAGCGCTACTCTTTCTGCTGAACACCGGTCAGAGTCTTGAGTTCAGGCTCGTCGCCCTCTTTGCCCGCCACACTGCTGCTCCGGTTCTTGCTCTTGCCTTTGAATGGCCTCCCCAGTTTGGTCGACAGCGTGTTCAGGACGGAGCTCTCGTCCGCCGTGGAGCGGCTGCTGCGGGTGAAGATGGACGTGCTCCGGCTCTCCGAGTTGGTGTCCTCGAAGAGCTTGCCCATGAAGCTGAGGCCGGCCTGGCGGATGTGGGAGCTGCCAGCGAACACGTAGAGAATGGGGTTGACAGAGCTGCTGAAGTACGCAAAGGCCGTGACGTTGGGACGGGCTTTAAGGGCCGCAGTGATCACTGACTGGCTGCCCTGCAACAGACCCACCACCTGGAGGATGGAGAGGGAGGTTAGAAGACAGTTCAAAGCTCAAAGAAATAAAGGTCCCACCACACGTTATTGTAGCATTTCACCTAAAAAACACCACATTATCTGAATAGTTGCACATGTTTGCACATCTAATCAATCCTTTTTTATCACCTCTATGATGTTGACGATGTGATAGGGCAGCCAGAATACTGTGAAGGCACAGATGATCAGCAGGATGAGGCGGCTGCCTTGTGCTCTGCGCTGGAACTTGGCGCTTTTCAGACGGCAGATGACGGAGGAGTAGCAGGTGTTGATGAGGGAGAAAGGCAACAGGCAGCCCATGATGGTCTCAAAGAGGTACTGGAAGACCCGGTGGCCCACGCTGTCCCAATGGTACGGCATACAATACGTGAGGTTGTTTGGCTTTCTCAGATTACTTCAGTGGAGGAGGAAGAAACACACGAATAGAAAGTGAATGTGAGTGAATGTAGATGTACTGAGTTCAGTCAGATCTATGACAAAATATGATTATTAGTGAATTTGTTAGCCCAAACTTATAGCAGAGCTATCAGTATAGTTTGCATCCTTTTCATTTGCAAACTCCACCTATAATAGCAGAACAGCCTCAATTAAATTTGACCTGGAAGTAAAGTGTAATCTTGTTCGACCACACCTACATCAGTTTGCTCACTCAGCTTTCGCATTTGTGTCGAAGAGCTTAGCAATGAAGAGGGTAAAATCACAACAGACAGATATGGGCATGTTCTACTGAAGCCTGTTGTCCCAAAGTGTTGGCAACTCTTCACATTTGCAAGAGCCCGACCGAATAGTGTTCTTGTTCATGAACTTCCTTTTTCAGGCTGTTTGTCTGCTAAACGACATCACACCTTTGTTTTCTGATGCCTCCTGTTGTTGCCCTGTCATCTTTTTCAGCTGTAACACTGTAAATATCTTATCTTATCGTCTATGATCCATAAAGATCTGAATTGTCGGTAAATATCTCCAAAGGACACCTAAGTTAACACTTTAAATGACAGCTTTAACACAAAATAAAGAGAGGCAATTATTGTAAAAGTTTTTGACTTCAGTTCCCCTCTCCTTTGCAGCAGCCATGAAAACATCAGCATAACAGACCCAGAAAGGACTTTTTCGCCTCACCTGCGATAGAAAGGCATCGGCAGTGACAGGAGGAACGCCAGCACCCAGACCACCAGCAGCAGAGCCAGCAGGGAGTGCTTGGTTCTCATTCTCTGCGACAGGAAGGGCTTGGTCACGGCCAGCCAGCGGTCCATGCTCATCAGGCAGATGAGGTAGATGGACACGTACATGTTCACACTTGACAGGTAATGCACCAGCTTGCACGCCGCCGAGCCAAACTCCCAGCCGCGTCCTCCAGCCAGGTAGCGCAGGAACAGGGGGGCGCTGAGCAGCACGGAGGCGTCCGCCAGAGCCAGATTCAGCACCAACAAGCAGGTCACCGAGCGCTTCTTCACCCAGCAGAGCACCGACCACACCACAAACAGGTTCCCGGGGAAGCCCAGCACAAACGCCAGGGTCAGGATGGCGATGCCGACCTGGGCACCGATGGACAGAGGAGGGGAGGCCGACTGGGCGGAGATGGTGATATTGGATGCCATCAGGAAAGCCTCTGAAGAAATATCAGTTTGGCTTCGACAACTGTGAAACTGACACAACTTTTCAACGGACAAAAAGAGGCAGGAAACAGGATATGTTGAATTAAGGTGTTTGAGGTGTGAATGTGTGTCAATGCTGCGAAATATTGCACAATACATTTTCTCATCTGTGACAGTATCTCAAAACAAGATGTTTCTGGAATGTGGGTGGAAAGTGGTAATCATAATAAGAGGGGTGAAAGGCCATGAGCTGCCTCTTCGCAGATATTAGGGTTTTATTAAGTGTGCTGAAAGACAGATTATATTCAATTTATTGCATGTTGTGCTTTTTTTTGCCATTTTCAGCTCCAATAAGTCCAAGAAAAAAGGGGAAAGCAGATGCATTTTCTTTCTTTATTTTTTAAGGTCTCATCAGAACTTGCTGAAATGCTCAAATTAAAAACATCCCATGTTTCTTAAAACCAGCCAGCACCTCGTTGCATGTTCTCTGGCTGTCCAAATAAACCAGAGAATGCTTTGATCTTATGAAGGAGCACAACACATGTTGAATAAATCTGGTCAGTTATTAAAACTTATGTAATAGTTCTGTTTCACACAATGACTAAGAAGTGGAAAAGACTGAAGAGCACGCACACAAGTGCAAACTTTTTTAAACACCATCAAACTCATCTAATCTCTAAACACACGTTCCACAGGAAGCTGCAGTCGTTGTGTTACAAAACAAAATATAATTCACAAATGAAATCTTCATTTTTTACATTTTATAAAAATTCAGGAATCCAACTGCTGAAATGTAAATGTTTTTGTCAAACTCTGTGATCTCCAGATGGAACTTTGGAAATTATACACGTTTTGCTTTTAGGATGTTTTAATAAATTTACATACTGACCTTTAACTGCTGATCTCTTTTTTTTTAAGGCGACAACAGTAACTCCACTCCGAAAAGGTTACCAGTGTCCATTCATTTTGCAGCTTGCCTGATCTACTGTCGACTCCGGGGCTTCCCTCTTTGCTTTGAGGACTGGGTGTGGAGATTAATACAAATAAAAGTACATGTCTTGAGTAAGAGGGTTCATGTTAGGGGAAACCCAATGACCACAGGAAGCCAGCTGTAGCTCACTTGGTTGCGACGTCGCCGTTGTTCCTCTTACACATTTCATTGTATTATTGCAGATCAGTGCACTGAATACTGATATTTTATGGAAAAAAATGTTGACACTGCACCAAAATACAGCTTATTGGCAAAGACATTTGGTATTGCATCAAGGAAGAGAACATTGTGTGTATGATAGAGAGCCACACAGTGTTGTGAAACTGATGGTATCATTTTTGGGAGGAGCACAGGAGAGCGTATGAATAAGTGAGGGGGGGGTATTCCTGTAAACTGTCAGGATCTTGTTGATACACGAGTGTTGCATCTTATCTCTGTTGTCTGTCTGCCCGCTTGCACCAGACTTCAGATTTGCAGCGTATTCCTCATTCCACATGACACGAATTGCATAACAAAGTTGGAACATGTCTCAGAGTCTGAGGAAAAAAAAAAAGAAGCTTCACTTCATTTTGTATATTTCCATATTTCATCTTTTTTACTGAGCATGCTCACAGTAAGATATCAAAACATGCCAGTTTAGGGTCTTCTCTTCAAAGCTGCACTAATCAATATTTTCGTATCGACGATAAATCAAATGACAAACCGTCATCGTGACAAAACCGTCATCCAACTCTGCAGTTCCCATCAGCTCTACGCAGAGCTGAAAGGAGAGTGAATATTGGATTTACATTCATCAGGTGGCCAGACACACGAGTCCAAATGAATGCAAATAATGCTCTCTGTTTGTCACCAACACGTTCACCGTATCAACTTTATATGGCCATGGTATGGCGAAATTGTTTTTACAGCTTGATCCACTGCCCTCGTGTGGCCAAAAAACATGATTCATGCAGCTTTTAAAACAAACCAACAGATGTGAGAGAGAAGCAAAGCAAACATATCAGTGCGAATATTATTAAAAAAAGTCAAGTGCCTCCGTCGAACCCGCGCTCTCAATTTGTACTCGTCACTGAGGTATATCAATTTTCACTTTTCATTTCAGTGCTTTAGTCAGGCAAGTTGACAAATAAAACATTGCATTAACAAAATGACAGAGAAAAATCTTGCAAAAAAAGATTCATAAGGCACCGCCTGGGTCCTGGATAATACTCCACAGTTCTTCCGTATGAAATAGTTCAGAGCGGAGCAAGCAAATTAATATTGCCAATTTAGGATGCATCAGGCTGCCAGCTGTTCCAGGATCAGTATGTCCAGTGACATCCCTTTCAAACTTTATGTCATTCGGAAGAAGGATTTACGTTTTCTTGATTGGCGGGAACCAGCCATGCACGTTGAACCCAGATGACGTTTTTGCCACTGGACGGCGATTTAAAGGCCTCAGTGGCTTAATTTGACCCCCCTGGGGGAACAACACCAGCTTCCAGCCTGCAGAATCTTGTGTCCTCTACTTACCATTCTTCACTGGTTTGGTATTAGAGTTCGAGTTGGCAACAGAGTCTTGATCTTTGTCCTTTAGCATGACGGCATCTGCGTCTTTGTCTTTGTCGCGGCTGTTCTGGCTGTGCTGCCGGCTCTTCCTGGTAGCCGAGTCCAGCCCCGTGCCCTCGAACAAGCGAGCCATGAACGCCAGCCCTTCTCGCCGGATGTACGACTTTCCTGCGAAGAAGTAGAGCACTGGGTTGGCACAGCTGCTGATGAAGGCTATGGCCGAGGTGACAGGTCGGCTATGGTGCCATATTTTATCCAGGCTGCGGGTGGAGAAAGGAGGAGAGCATTTAATTAGAGACAAATGACTGACTTTGATTTTCATCAGAATGTCAATAAAAGGGTCACAGACTATATGCATAATGTACCACTTGTAAAAGTAGCAATGCCACAGGGTACAAATATTGTATTATAAGTAGGCCACGCTATAGTGGTTCCCACCTGCTCCCAGTATGCTAAGCTAAGGTAATCGCCTCCGGGCCCTTGCTGCAAACTTAACGCACACACCCAAGAGTGGTGTCAATCTTCAAGTCTAACGCTCAAAGATAAATACAAAGGTTCCAAAATATTGCATTGCAAGTGATGCATCAAATGGCTCAATTTGAGTCTGAAACAACTCCCAGCTGTACACCATGTAACGCATGATAACACGGATAGTTGGTTTGTGTTTGATTTTTTAACATTAGCTTTATTAAATAAGAGGAACGCAAGTTGTTGTGTCATCACTTACATTTTTTTTACTGAATTTCCTTCTGGATATAGAGCCGACGTAACCTGAGGACAATGAAAAGAATGATCAGTGAATAACTGTGAAAACGTGATGCTATTTAAACCTGGACACACGTTGAATACATTTAAAGACTGAAGAAGGATGTATGACATACTTGCACCATGTTGATGAGGTGGTAGGGCAACCAAAAGAGGCAGAAGGTCAACACGATGGCCAGGATGAGCTTCTCGCTACGAATGCGACGGCGGAACTTGGTCTGTCGGAGCCGCCGTAAGATGCAGATGTAGCTGACTACAATGACCACGTATGGAATCAAAAACCCGATCACAAGCTCCAGCATGTACTGGAGGACCACCTGTGCATGGAAGATAAGATGAGACAATAAAATGTAACATTCGAACATTCTGCTTTACATTAAATTGCATGCTGGCTACCAGCTAAACATCCAGAGATGCCAAAGGGATTGAAATCTTTTAATATTGCAAAGCTCAACTCTCTGCTTTAAGAGACACGATAAGTTGATTTAGGGAGTTTATTACATTTTTTTTGTTTGCTTCAGTTACAAGGGCTTGGAAGCTTTTCTCTGTTGCATGTAGAATCAGTTTTATTGAGGTAGAGTCAGAGATAACAGGTAACAGGTTCATATTTTAGCTCAATTTCATGGCATGTCGTGAAATACAATCTATTGGTTTTGTGAATACGTTGTCGTTCAGGACAAAAACTATGACAATGGAAAGTCAACTAGGAATCTTTTTTCGTGGTGGGCACACAAATCCAATGCATCCATGTGACAACAGTCAGAGCTATGATGTAGAAGTAAATATTGAGAAAGACCACTGTTGGTGAGTGGGAGGGGAGGCGGATGGCTCCAACCAACACAGGACTTTCAACCACAAGACCAGAGTTGGTTTTGTTGGTTATTTAAAGCCCATCCATGTTTTTTGCTAACTTTTGCTCTGTAAAGTAATGTCCGAAAGAAAGGGGGTTTTGAAAAAACAATGTGTGTCCCTGTACACGAGACCAATAGATTGCTTGTTGTGACTATTTCACGAACTGAAGTGAGACTGTGTTGCATATTTGGATGACCCCATAAAGAGTACTCCAATTTAGCTTTGTACCCTTATAACATTGTCAGTCAGTGACAACAACGGCAAAACCTTGTATCTACAATGGAGATTAGCTTAGTTTAGCAAAGAAGTGTATATTTATCTTGCCTGTTTGACTCATTCACAGGCTAGAGGTTCCAGTCTTAATGCTAAGCTAACCCAATCATCGCATGGCTCTAGCTTCATATTTTGTGTACAGACATGGTATGTATCTTCTCCTTTAACTCTCGGCAAGAAGGAAGAAAAGCGTATTTCCTGATCCTTGAAATGCCACCAGTTTCGGGCGACCGTTCTAACAGCATCTGAAAGCATCCTTTGCACATTTAGAGGATTGTGCAGCCTTGGTTATTGATAATATGAAGATGATCAGGTTTTCCTTCACTTACATCGCTGGTGGGGTGAACATGGGCCGGTTCACACACGTTAGTCCCATTCTTCACATCTCTGAAGATCACAGCAGGAATGGAGGCGACCATCACCATCACCCACAGCACCGCCAGCACACGCAACACTGTCTTGCGGCCGGTGATGATGCTGACCCGCTGCGGCCACAGCACTGCCACCAGCCTGTAGATGCTCATCAGCATGATGAGCTGGATGGACGCGTACATGTTGACCAAACAAAGGTAGAAGAGGATCTTGCACATCGCCCTCCCAAACACCCACTTCTTCAAAATCAGGTAGACGACAAAGAACGGGGTGAGGGCCATCAGAGAGCCGTCAGCGATAGCCAGGTTGAGGATGAGGAGGGTGGTGACCGAATGCCGTCGGGCACGTGCCAGGACGCTCCAGATGATGAAGAGGTTGCCAGGGAAGCCCAAGAGAAAGACAAGGCTCAGGATGAGGGCGCCCGTATTGGTGCCAGCGTTGCTATTCGTGTGTGTTGAATTGTGAGTCGGGTCCATTTTGTTACCTGTCAAAGAGAGAATATTGGTGAATGTTTTTTCCTTACGACATTTATTTTTACCTTTTAAGTAAAAATACAGAAAATATAACAATATTAGCGATTGTTTTTACTCTTGTTTTTTTGCTGTTAACAGACGATATCAATGCTAACAAAGCAAACCACAAAAGGGTGCTTTAACAAAAAGGAATGATCACTATGTTACAGTGTTTCCAGGGCCGTTTACCAAACACCGTATCATATTTCATACTCTGCACTAACATGCCAGATTACAAAAGGTACTTCAACAAATTTGATTAGTCATATTTTGTGACTAATAAAAGTCTTACTTCTAAATTCTACACCATGTTTTTTCTGGCACAGGCCTCAATTTGACGAGACAACTATGTATTTCTGACAGAAAGTGTGGGAGTGTGTGGCGCAAGTGTAACAGGTTTTAACAGTGCTTCTTAATTCCTGAACAACGAGACCAGACATGAGCGGAGCATAATACGGAGCATAATAACTCCCGTTAATGCAACTTCATCATGTTTGTTTCTAAAACAGCTACATGCTACAATGCCCAGCTGTCTGAGGAAATGAGTTGGTAGTATTTAGAAAATGAAAGTATGTATATGTGAGACATTTTTGAACAGCTATCACTGCAACAGATTTACAAGTTGCTTGTGGTCTTTTTAGAGGACTTGTTAATAACAATAACAGCAATACAAATATCCCCAGTCTGATTCTTTAAGAGATTCATAAACTAGCAGTACTTTAAAATATGCATGAATAACTGGAAGCCAATACAAATCTTTAATAAGAGGAGTAATGTGCTCAGCTCAGAAATCTGGGTTAGCTCTCAGCAGTCAATCACTACGCATTATACAGTTTGTGCAACAGATAAATTGTATTTATCTTGTAGGCTCCTACCAGGAAACCTATGCATGGACTATAGCCATGTTACTGGAAAAAGGGTTTCAGATGACATGTCATCACTTGTTGGACATATCTTGACTATTAGTTTAAGAGCGCACCCTTTAGGCTGACACTCACCGATGCAGCGTCAGCGTGTGCACACGTTCAATGATTCACACCCACATCTGCTAACCGCACTTCTTTGATATTTCTTTTCAACTTGTGCAGTGATTATGGATTAGTACAGAGTAAATCAGTGTGTAGTTGGCTGTGGTGGTAAGTGAGTGCACACCAAGTGATTTACAGATACAAATACAGCAGAGATGGAATGATTGCGTCTTGACCAGCAGACGATTTGTTGAGTTTTGATGCTGCCCCTATAGCCCATATGTGGGTCACATGTTTGGGGTGGGACCTTAGGTCTCTTCTTTCTTTAGAATTTAGAAAAACATTTCCAAATGAAAAAAGTAAGGTCATTATTCATACTTTTACATAATTAGCACTTAGGCAGGTGTGTTTTGAGGGTTTTCTTTTGGTTTTTCTTTGGTTTTACAACACACCATTTGAAGTAAAAGTCACTGTGAGGAACTTGTAACTGGTTATGAAACAGTCGCAACTTAATACTGAAGCCTCTATTGTAAGACCTTCATAAGTAAACAAGACCATCAGCATCCATAAAGAAATGTTATTGGTAATGCTTGTCATCGGTGCCATCGGGTTTGATTCAGCATGAAAACAGATGAGGTCATGCTGGTTCACCGGGAATTCAAGGGCTCAGAGGAGAGCTCAGCGGCTCCTCGTACGTCCAGGAGCAGAGCTCCGCCGGTCCCCACTAAAAAAGCCAACACACGACACCTCGCTGCTTGAAGCCCATGCTATATTGCTGGGCTCGTTTGAGGGGGAAAGGGTGGCACGGAAGAACCAGAAACAGGACTTAGAGGGGCAGACTGTCAGACCCATGTTGCAATAAAATGAGAGGTTTAAAGGGACTCTGGTGCTCAGAAACACTTCTACTTTTGTGCACAGGGACCGCCAAAATCAACACAAAATTAAAGTTCTATTAATAAATAAGCCACATTTAAGCTTTAGAGAAAAACAAAACACAATACAATTTGATCGTGAAATCCACCTAATAGTTAAATTAGCAAATAATAAAGTGCTGTATCCAAAAATAAAAAAGCAAGCATGATAATAATAATACAATTGCCTCAACTCCTCTGTCTAATACAGTAATAATTGTGGTGAGCTGAAGATTATATGTGGCCATTTTTTACAGAAAGATTAACAAATATACATTGACATTGCCAGGAAATCATAAGTAAAAGTTTAGATTGTTCTTGAAATATATAGGATTTTTATGCTGGTTATGAACAGGTATTCATTTATAGTTTTCTTCTTCTAACGCAGATGCACTTGGAATATTTCAAAAGAAATACCCTTAGATAAAATCACTTTCTCCAACTTTCAGAGGAACAGAGAGACAAACAGAAAACACCACATGACAGTGTTTTCAGAATCATATTACGCAACGGCCCCAAAATCAGAAACCAGCTTTAACCAACTATTTAGTGTCACTGTCGTGTTGAGTCTTTCAGTTGCCGTTCTCCGTTCATTCCTTTTGTTTTCTTACAATACAGGCATTCAAAGTTTGAGCTCTTTGCTTTTTTATTATCATGTGTACAAACAGAGCTCCCTGCGGTGACCACAACACAGACTATAAAACCTGACTGACTCAAAAGGTGCGTTTGTGTGTATTGTGTGACTCATGCACATGCTTTCTAAAACTCACCTGATTTGCCTACAAAGAAAGCATACATAAATTGTTCATATTATAATCAAATCACAACTGCCAGCTGAACCTGACAATGTCACAAAAACACAGCAACAAACTGCGGAACAAAAACTCCTGTAATCCCTTAGAAAGAAACCAGGAGTTCCTAATTTCTCCTCCAACAGCAACATTAACTACAGTTGTTGGCATGGATTTGTTGGCAGTTGCAACCGCAGTGTTGTTGCTGACAGAAACCGACACAGACTCATGAATGAGAGCCAGGAAGACAAACTCACCTCAAGTCATCGACTGTAAATCCCGACACCAACACCAACGTCTGGGAAAGAAGTCTGACTGGTGTTAATGTTGAGTTTTCTTCCTTTTCTTTTAAACCTGTCCTCTCCCCGAGTTTCCCTCCAACCTCTGTTTCTCTCTGTGATTGATTTGTCATGCTTGCTGCAACATGTAGTGAGAGGGGAAGGTGTGTCCCCATTACATGGTCTGTCTCTGCCCTGGCAGTCTGTCAACAGCTCCACAGGAATTCAACCTCTGTAGCTTCGTCTTAAAGGGTTAGTCCATTTTCCCCTCACAGTAACTCACCATAATTCTATTCACCCCGATTGTATGAAAGCGGTCATTAATATTTTGTAAACTACCAAACATGGCCAAAAGTATATGGGCACCCAGATATTACCACCATATTTATTGTTTGTCTTGGTCTTATCCTATCAATTGGTTTTATTGTACTGTTTTATCAGGGTTTCAATTTGACCTTAGTTTGTCTTGCTTTTGTTGAGTTGCCTGTCATTACTGTATATTGCCTTGCTTTGGCTGTCTAACCACTTTGTAAACTCTGTTTCAAAAGGTGCTACAAAAATAAAGGTATTATTATAAGACCCGAGTTGCTGATGGCGTTCTGGTTCATCCCTAAGGTGTCGGGCGAGGTTGAATTCAGGACTCCGCTCTTTACACCAACCGTTTCTTTATGGACCTCTATGTCACGGTGAGACAGGAAAGGGCATTTTTCACAAAGTTGGAGGCCGAGATATAATTGTATGCTGTAACTTTGACCTTTCCCTTCATTGAAACAAATGGGCCAACAGCTATTTGTCGGATGAGCATTACAGTGTTCATGATAAATTAACCTGCGTTTTTTTTTAACTGGAAACCAGAACACCAATGCAGACTTGGGAAAGACTCCACACAGGCCCTCTTAAATGAGCGTTACCTGCATGCAAATAAACCAGGTACAATCTTCAATATAAGCAATACAATTTATTTTTTAAATCACAAACCATACTCAAAGTATTACAATACAATTAAAGACGCTGTGGAGTCCGTCCGCTTCCTGGAATCCACCATAACCCAGGACCTCAAGTGGGAGCCGAACATCAGCTCCATCACAAAAAGAGGGCTGAGCAGAGGATGTACTTCCTGAGGCAGCTGAAGAAGTTCAACCTACCAAAGACAATGATGGTGAACTTCTACACAGCCATCGTTGAGTCCATCCTCTGCTCCTCCATCACGGTCTGGTACGCTGCAGCCACTGCCAAGGACGAGGGCAAACTGCAGCGTATAATTCGCTCTGCTGAGAGGGTGATTGGCTGCAATCTCCTGTCCCTCTAAGACTTGTTCACTTCCAGGACCCTAAAGCGAGCAAGAAGGATTGTAGCAGACCCTCTCACCCTACACGTAGACTGTTTGAGTCCAGCCAAATTCCTTGTATGTGTAACGTACTTGGCAATAAACCATTTCTGATTCTGCAGACATTTTGCATTGTAAACATCGTGTGGGGGGTTGTTAGTCATAATTAAGCAGAGTGCATCGCAGACCTCTATCCCTAACCAGATACACAGCAGGCGGGAAACAGTTTCAATGCTTTGGACGGTGTGTTTAGCTAGCAGCTAACAGCTCTCCCGGTACACACTCTGTTGAGTCCCTCACCGCCCTTAAGCTGCTGCCATGAAGGCAAACAACTTTTTGTTTTTGCAAGATTTTATGACGTGTCTTACACGATGACCATGAGTCAATTTTTAGAATACATCGCCGGTTGTTTTCGAGTTTGGATGAACAGTGTTTTACGACCCCTTACAGCTCATTTGTGCCTAGATGGAAGGGTTTCCCCAACTTTTGTTTGTATTCAATTCAGTCACACAATACAGTAGTGGTAGTTGCAGACACACCTGGTGGCGATCTGCACACTACTTTCAGATAAATGAAGAAGGAAGATTGTTCGCCAATGGAACTATATACTAACTAGTTGTGTCATTTTTAGATTTTAAGACAAGTTTTCCAATCGAAGGGAATCGTTGTTGAAGAACAAAAAAAACAAACAAAAAAAACCAAAAACTTGATATTCCAAACTTTTACTACCATAACTTGGCCAGCTGTGCAAACACGCCAATATCATACCATTCATATTCCAGCCCAAGCCCTGGATAAAGAGGCTGGGTGAACGTGGTCTGGACTTTGTGGAGCAGCACCATCGGGTAAGGGACATGATAAAAACATAGAGTGCCCGCTTTGTAATCAAGATACACTCCAATCCTTTTGGAGCAAGGCCCTGACAACCTTGTTTCTACATTATTGTGACGGAACAACAAGCCATTTTCCGTGCACTCTAAACTCCAGGACTTGTCATCTTTCCCAAACTGTGACTCATCTGATGTGCGGTTGATGTCTTTGTATGCCACCGCTGCAGACAGAGTGCGAGCATGCCACTCCACCACCCAGTAGCATCGCTCTGGCAAAGCCTCTCGGCACAGCACCTGTGGCCACTTGGTAAACCTGTCTGGGTGAGCAGAGTACGGGGTGGGTGAAGGCCTCACCCTGAGGTCGTCGTCTATCAGGTGAAGATAGGGGTAGTTTGAGTTCCCATCCAGTGTGAGGGGACAGCAATCTGCCAGAAGAAACTATGTGAGTATTTACACTGCTAATGATTATTTTATTGAAAAGTAAAGATGTTCGACTGAATTTCTTACAGCGTAAAAACTCCTCTCTGGTTTTTGGTGCTGGTGACAGTGAGAAGTCCACATAAGAGACTGTGAGAAAGAAACATTTCATAAATAACCCACTGGACATGAAGATGGCCAATATACGAGTCAGAATTGATATATTTCCATGTGATACCTGTGGCAGAGATCCTGGGCCATGTGTCCCTTACGACAGACTCCAATTTACCTCTCAGCTCACACACGCACTCAGTCACATCTCCGAAGGAACGCAAAGGAGCAGCATCGAACGAAAAGTGTGGAGAGTCACCGGAAGTTGAGAGGGACTGGAAAATCTGAGGGGAAAAGAGACAGAGGTGAAGTTGAAGACAGAAAAACAATACGTTAAAAATATATCAATGCAAATACAGAGTTTCAGTCGAAACAGCCAGAATATTAAAACTTTGTCCAAAGTAATTAATGGAGTCACGACTCAGTTCTTGTACAAAGAGTGTTTTCCTTTAACGCTTGTATTTTGCTTGTATTTTGCTTGTATTTAAGTTCAGTCTTTTTATAAAAAAAATTTGTCGTTTTACACTTTCACCTGAAAATAAAGATTTTTTTGAATGACACATCCCATTTCTTTGATCACAACAGGTTTAAAACATCTGTTCCAATGTCTCCTTTGGCCAGTCGGTGGAACTGTTTTTAGCCGTCCCATTTTATTACTGTCAGTAATTTGGCTGGACTGCACTGGAAACTGTTCATTCAATCATGAAGAAATGTCAAAAAGTCAAAAGACAACACTAAAAAGTGTCTGCTACCTGAATCATGTGGATGGGATCGTCAACATGCGACAGCTGTTCCAGTTCAGCGTCTCGCCTCTTCAGCTTGCTGATGTCCTCCTCCAGCTCAAGCCGCTGCTCTTCAGCCTGAGCGACGGCTGTCTTCTCCTGATCACCGATCAGCTGCTTCACCTCTCTACGTCTTCTCTGCGTGGAGGAGATTATCTCGGCGAAGATCTTGTCACAGTCCTTCATCGCCGTCTGGGCACAACTCTGTTGGCACGCATCAGAATTATTTATTTTAAAAGCTCAAAAACATTTGAACAACATGATGAAACTTCAGCTGAAAAGGGCACCGTTCACAAGCTGGTGTTGACCTTTGACCTCCCAGGGGCCAAAATAAAAAATGACTTTCCGTCAGGAAAATTGTTAATCGATGTGGAAAATTGGCCGCAAGTCCAAAATTAACTCTGGGTTAAAAAAGAAGCTTGCGAGCTGCACCCAAATATAACTTAACATTGTTATGCCCATTCATTGGCTTGTGAAACATGACCGCAGTGCTGATTTTTAAATCATGTCCTCAGGCAACATGTTGTCCACATCATCCTCAGCGGCATTTCACAATCAGTCAAGATCTATGAATTGATATGACCCATTTCAAACCTTGACGTTCTCCTCAGCTTGGATCAGCATCTGCAGCTCTGTCTCTCTCTGCTTGACTCTCGCCTGGACTTCCTTTTGTCTGGAAACCAGACCTTTCTGGAAGGAAGAAAGCGAGATTATTCGCTTGGAGACTGGAGCGGTTCATGTTAAAGAAAGAAAATTAAAACCACATTAAAATAATGAACGTTTCATGCCAGTACGAGCTCAACAGATGACATTAAAAGACTTAATGAGTATGTTTTATGGCCTCGTGCCCTTTTGGAGTACTGGACTTTGAAAAGGAACAATGTGAACAGATAAGTGAATGCGTTACGTTAAAACAAAAACACCCCTCAGTCTACCTCCGTCTCAGCTTTCTGTAGTGAAACAGAAATGGTTTTGTGGCTCCTATGTTCATCTATAACGCACAGATGGCAGATGCACGTCCTGTCCGTCTGACAGTAGACCTCCATCAGCTTGTTGTGCTTCTCACACATCTTATCCTGCAGTGGGACTGTAGCCGAGATCAGCTGGTGCTTCTTCAACACGGGAACACTGTGGTGAGGCTCGAGGTGAGCCGGACAGTAAGATGCCAAGCAGGTCAGGCAAGACACGGTGGCTTTGTTTCGTCTGGTCCCGCAGCAGAAATCACAGACGACGTCTTCTGGGCCGGCACAGGCCAGAGAAGGAGAGGGCTGCTGGGTGCTGCTCTTCTTCAGCTTCTCCACAACCTGTGGATGATGGGAAAGACAGTCACTGATGACCAAGAAACCAATAGATACATGAATTAAACACTCCACCAGTGAAAATACTTCTTCTTTAAACTATAATTTAAGATATGTGCTGAATGCAACATTTGACAGTTGAATGATGAACTCATCAGTGCTTTCCGTTGGGCAAACTATGTAATGGAGAACATTTCTAATTGACTTTGTACCAAACGTTGGTTTACAATACTGCCATATAATCTAAACCAATATATTGGCCTAACATTGACCCAGAGGAGTTGTAAGTCTAGACGTCTGCCTATAGGCAGTAAGTCTACTGGTGTTATTGAAATGCTGAAAAATCAGGAGACATTTTTAATAAGCATCAAAATACAAATGTGAAAGTGTACCGTTTCAACTAATAATACTCCTTTTTTTATTACATTTTGAGGAACAGGAAGAAAGGTTTTCTGCCCTCACCTCAGCCAGCATGGTGTTCCTCTTCAGAAGCGGCCTCGGACTGAATGTCTCCCGGCACTGAGGACAGCTGTACAGTCCCTTCTTCACCTCCTGGTCCCAGAAATCCTCGATACAGTGTCTGCAGTAACTGTGTCCACAGGGAATGGCGACTGGTTCCTTTAGCAGGTCCAGACACACTGAACAGCAGAACTGATCCTGGTCCAGGTCGACTCCATGCTGCTCCTCTTGCTGATGTTGTTTGCCAGCCATTTTCACTGTCAACCAGTCTCATGAAAAGACAAAGAGTTTTTCTGGGTTTGATTTTGTTTGAAATACTCAGAAAAAAAGGAACTGACTCTCTGGTACCAACCAGGAGCGGTGAGGCTATTCAGAGCAGTGTGTGAGGTTCAAGGCTCAATGTCCACCAACTTTAATTGACATCACCTGTGTGCTCAGAGAAACTGTGTTAAAGGGGCAGACAGCAATTTATACACAATAAGAACAAGTCTGTGGAGGTTGGATGCTTTTCAGGCCTGACAGTTGTTATGAGAACATCTAGGAAAATATGAAACCTAGAGGCAAATGTAAATTATAATATTATATTAATGCAAAATATTTCAAGGCTTAAAGAAAAGCTTTTACATTACAACACCACCCATTGCGTTTGCACTTTGTGCCTCGTTTTTGCAGGATGGGAACGAATAAACGAAGCGTTTGTCTTGCTTTAGGGAGCTCCCTGTTGACCTGAGTTTGTAGGTGCAGGGTAAACTACACAGACTTTCACTCACATTGTAATAAGAAATGGACAAATAGGAAAACGTGTTCGCAATCAGTGCTTTTATTGTTGAAAAACAGATTTCTAACAAATAATGGCATAATAAAGAGAAACAGGTCAGTGGTATATAGTTATTTATAATCCAACAGGTAAAAGAGAGTCCACATTCAAACCACCACTGTCAGATAATTCAACATCGTCAATTGCTTTAATCATTTATATACTCATGTATTCCACACATTACCGATATATAAAGATGGCATCAGCCCACTGTTCCTATATTAGAATGATTTTTAGATAATTCACAGAGTTTTGACTCTTTACAATGAACATTTCCCTCCACCTTTTTCAGAATCACTGCTTAACTTGTTTTGATTATGCTGTGGTTATCAGCCCCAAACATCTTTTCCACTTCAGTTAAAGCTGCAATAATCAATTTTTGTTGTACTAACAAGGGATTAATTGTCTGCTTGTAGTGTCAAACCCACAAAGAAATGTCACGTGACCCTGGAGTCCCCCCCCCCCCGGCTCTTTACGGAGCCTTCAGCAGCTAGAGAGACAGATACCCCCTCCCCCCCGGAATGGTTGAGACAAAAGCAGAGATAAATGGAGTGAACGTTGGACAAACATTCGCGAGGTGGCCAGAAAACACAACTCCAGATGAATGGAATGTAATCATTGCCAATTAAAAGCAGCTTTCCCTCTGTTTATGACAGCATTTTTTACAATTTCGACTGCCTCCCTTGGTGTTTCTGCTTTCTCAGCTGCCTCTTGTCCAATAATACCCCCTATTACTCCTCCTATTGCAGCGGCCACGCCCAACGACACTCCAGCGACTGCCAGTCCTGCTACTTCTCCTCCTCCTGCTGCTGCTGCTGCTGCCGCCGCTGTTGCTGGAGCCATTTTCACAAGTTTCATCAACCCTGCACAGTTCTGCAGAGCCATGATGACTAGTCCAACCATCGCTGTCAAGCCACACAAAGCTCCTAACACCACTCCGGTTGCTGTGCCTGCCAGTTGGATCAAGACCCTGTCAGACACTCTGGTTTTTGCCTGTTTTCTGATCTCTTCCTGTGGCACGTTTCCCGACGACGTGTTTTGCTTTATGTGCTCTTCCTCTATCTGTATTTCTTTCTCCACTTCTTGAAACACCTCGTTGGTGTAGTGGCCTCCGTTGTTTTCCATCACCATCTTGTCTATTGTGTTGAGCAGGTCCTCCACCCGGACCGGGTTGCTCCTGTAGCTATTCTGCAGGTTGTTCTTCCAGTGCTTATTATCAACGACGTGGCACCGGCCGCCGCACTTCTTCACCAGATCGCTCAGATTCTCATTCTGACTCACAAACTCCTCAATTTTCATCCCTTTAGGCAGCCCGTCGCCATGTGTGAAGACGATCACAGCATATTTCAAAACATCTTCAGAGAAATATTGGCATATTTTATTGGTGACAGCCTGCTCGTGCTCTGTGAATTTCTCCACTTTCAGCACAATGAGAAAAGCATGAGGCCCAGGAGCGCACTCTGTGATGCACTTCACTATCTCAGCCTTCATCTTCTCCTCAGGCCTGCCTGTATCAAAGAAACCAGGAGTGTCGATCAGAGTGAAGCTTCTTCCATTGACAGATTTGGTTTCAGCTTGACATTCACTTGTTCCAGAGTTGGGAGACTGGTCTGTTTTGAACAATTTCTCTCCAAATATGGTGTTAGCTAGGTTGCTTTTCCCAGATCCGGTTTTTCCCAGCAGGACGATCCTCCTTGTAGTTGACACTAGAAGAGAATAATGTCTCTGTTTAGTACATTTGTCTCCTGATTTTAAAGGAATGCTTTAGCTTTAAGATTAGACTTAAGGATGCTTACTAATATCTGCCAAATGAAGACAACAATGATATTAGGTCCACAGGGAGAAGTGCCAGCAGATCATTTTATTTATTTATAAATAATAATAAAGTTAGAGAAAGAAAAACAGGAAAACGGGTGCCACAGGACTGAATTCTGACTCTTTGCTGTCATATAATATCTATGCCCACCTTGGTCTGGTTGGAATATTTTGGCTTGGAAAGCTTCCTGGACATACCTGAAGGCCTGCAGAGACAAGGAGAGGGTTTAATACCAATTCAAGTATATACTCATATGATGTTTGTTAAAATGTTAGCTGACGTTCATAACTCAAATCTTTGAAAATACAACTGTTTCTACTGGTTTATTACTTCAATGATCAACTGTAAGATTTATGTTTAATCATTTTGCAATCTTGGAACGCATTGGCTATTGGTCTGAAGACGATTTAGCCGCTGGGTTAAACGGACAACAGTTTGAGGGTTCCGGTGTAGCCAGCGGATATCCGTGCCAAGACTTCCTCTTCTGTTCGCTGCTCAGTGTTTACAATGAGCAACTTGAGACATGAGATGACGTCTAGTAGCCATGTTCTAAGCTAAATCATTGCATTCATATGCAGATATATCTGTTTATGGAGATTTATCATTTTGTTACTATATTTCATGCAACTTGAACACTTGAGTTTCATCGTGAATAGTCCGTGTTTATGGCACAATGCATTTCCATTACCTCGCTGGACTCTTCGTCAGTGGGGGGGATGACGATGCGGACCAGGAACGGTGTTCTGCTGGCTTGGTTCTGTTGAAACGCAAGAACTTCCTCCTGTAGAACCCTGACAACCACGCTCTCGGGAAACTGCAGGGCATTCCCAGCACCGAGTAGAGGGAGAGCAACTGATCCAAACCCTCTTTTCTCACAGGTAGTTAGGATGTTACTGAAGGCCAGTTTCAGAACCTGGAAAATGTCAGAATTCAATTATTTTTAAGGCTAGACAAAAATAAATACTGTATTAAGGTGCAGAGAACAGAAAACACTCCTCCACTACCGCACCTGAACTGCAGTTCCATCTGGGTCTTCATCCCAGGGAATGAGGCTGAGGAAGAACACTGCATTAGATGGAAGTGCGGAGAAGACCTCCACCAGGACTGCATCACCAGGCATAGTTCCTTCTCCTGCTTCCTTTCTAAAGCCTGCAGTCAGCTGGGATCCAACCATTTCACACAAAGTGTTTCCAACACAGGTGGAGAGAGGATCATGGCCAACCATGGGTGAAACCAGGGCATCCACCTAGGAGGAGAGCAGGAGATGTGGTGGGCATTGAACACCATTTCATGTTAAAGATCTAACGTACAAATTTCTCAACTTATTGCTCATGGTGTTAGCTCACTATAAATCAGCTGACACCCACAGGAGAAAATAAAAGTGATATGTCAAGCACCTGTGACGTATCCTAAAAATGTGTTTTTCTTACCCTCCAATGAGCAAGTTTAATACATTTCTCACCTGCTGGGTCTCCAGGGTTTCCTGAATGATCTCTACATGGACAGGAGCTCCACCAGTGGCTCCTCTTTGGAACCCCGGATCACTTGGTGCAGCGTTTCCGCTACTTATCCCTTGGAGAGGCCGGTCACATGGTTGGCTGTAGCTAGCAACTGTTGTGTTTACTTCACTCAAACTTAAGGGCGCAAGATCACGCGCAACATTTAGGAATTCATCTTTCCCAGTGGGACTTTTGGAATGTCTTACTGTCCCTAACTGGTCAGTGGTGACTCTATCCCCAAGAAGTGAGTCCAGAAATAGACCTAGCCAGTTTCTGACCTCATTCACTTTTCCAGATGGACCTTTCAGCACCACTGTGGGTGTGGAGGAAGATGTTATGGGATGGAAGGTAACCCCTGAATAGTCAAAACCATGCCGCTGCAGCAATTCTGGCAACTGTTGTGCTAACTCTGTGTAAGGCAGATAGACTATGCTTTGAACACTTGACTCGTCCAAAAACTGTATGACAACTTCCCTCAGCTCTTCGACCTCTTTGGTGTGGCCCAGTAGGGACACCGTGCTGTCTGGGCCAAACACAACCTGAGCCCTGTATTGCCCTTGGTTCATCTTATTTCTCTTGGACTTTAGATTTTCACAAAGATCAGATGGCACAGAAGAGTAGTTAGGAACATCAATCTTGACTTCCTTGAGCTCACCTTGCAGTGCCTTTACAGTTTCATCAAGATCATCAGTGGAAAGAGATAAGAAACGTACCTCCGTGTCTCGTAACTCTATTTCCACCTTGCCACCAACCCCTAAAAAGTCCCCCAGCACCCCTGCACCGCCGTATGCCTTTCTCAAGAAGGCCAAAAGATGTGGGCTCATGTCAGAAACGGTCCTTTCGAACACAAGATTCTCCTGCTCAGAGATAGAATCTCCATCCTTAAGAATCTCCTCCACAGAACCTTCCAAAACTAACTGACCTGCAGCTCCCTGCGTGACCTTCACTTCTGGAAAATCTTGTCGCAAACTGGGCTCCATCTCTTTCCAGAGGAGGCGGAGCTTGGCCTCGCCCAGTCGACGAATGCTTTTTTGCTTCTCACTGGAACCTGACCGTCGTTTAACATGCGAGTCCTCTACAGCCATCAACATGGCCTTCACTTGAGAACGCTCCCCAACCACAATGGCCATCCCATCCTCGCTGTACACCTTCACCCCATCTGTGGTCGAACTGCAGGACTTAATTAAAGCTTTACCTTTGTGAGGGTCCACCTCACAGTGGCACATATAGCCATCAAAGAGTTTGTCTACCTCGGCTTTCCAATTTCTAACTGCAGCACCAGCTTGAGCTAACCGGCTAACTAAAACCCTCCCCTCCTCTGGGTACAGCTGGGCAGAGCAGGCCACAGAGCTGAGTGCTTCCTCTAGTTCTTTCACAGCCTTGGGGCACTCCTTTAGATAACGCAGGAGGTGACAATCAAGTCGTAGTTCATATTCTTCGCCACTTGTTGAAGGTGTTGAGTCAGGAATGCATTGTGGGCTCTGTGTTCAAAGGAGACATCAGTTAATTAACAGTTAACTGCCGTCTTGTACATGGATTGTTAGATAAAAACCCTTAATATACAGAGTGATTAAGGTGCAGTATACAACCTCTGGTGTTATATAACTACATAAAAACAGTAACGGTAAATGGTAAATCATTTTCTTGAATCTACAATCTTATACGTCTGAAATGAAATATATGACGGCAAATCAATGTCAATATCCACGAGCAAAACTGAGGGCATGCGTGTGTAGAGGTCAGGTGCAACTCAGACAGCCACGCATACATATTACTTTTGCGAGCGCTTTCACATCACTTTGCACAGCGGATATCTGCTCGCGCAAGCAAAATTGCAAGTTGCTCAGATTGATTTAAATTCACTCCATCATTCTATTACAGACACCGTTTGTTCGTTAGTCAAACCTCTTATGACAAACAGATCACATAAACTCCTTGATCTTAATTGACTAAAACATGATGTGATCATATTTAATCATACTCTTGTGTTTACAGAAGTAAACAGAGAAAATGCAGTTTTCTGTACTATGAATAAGGATCTGGAGACAAGGTTAAACCACTGTTTGTATATTAACTGTTTGCCAAGTGAGTTCCCAAAATGAAATCACTGACAAGAAATTAGTGGATGAAAAAAAGTCCTTTACTGCAGTAAAAGTATTAATACCACATTGATATTCCACTAAAAATGTAAGACACAATTCTTGCATTCAAAACCTTAGTGAGGAATGTTATTATCAGCAAAATGTACTTAAAGTACTATAAGTAAAAGTACCCGGGTAGAAAAATGTTCCCTGTCAGTGTTTTACAATTATATCTGATGTTTCAGGATATATAGTATTGCTGTATGTATGTGTATGTTGCATGTTTTAACTCCTTTATATACTTTTGGTTAGTTTAATGCATCATATTCTGTGAGATCATATGTTTGTAGTACAAAAAAGTATCTCCCTCTGAGATGTAGATCAGTTAAAAGTACTATAGTTACCTCTGAGAGGTATTGGAGTAAAAAGTACAAGTGAGTGAAAAAGTAATATGGTGCTCGGATGTAGGAGTTGCAGATGCGGGACCTCTGCACGCGCGCGCGTGGATCTCGGATATTGACCTCATTTAATTGTTGTGCCAACCTGTACTGGAGCGGTGAAATCCTGGGAGGAGAGAGGTTCCCGGCTGCCTCGGACAGTTAACACCAGACCGTCCACAACATGCTCAGATCTCTGCAGCACCGCCTGCTGATCTAAAGATAGAAATGTGACCTTTAGTTGAAAGACAAAACAACAACAACAACAACATAGACTCTCTTTTTCTGTCACTTATGGCGAGAAAGTGTTCATGTAGGGCAACACTAGCTTTGTTGCTTAGACTTTTCTACAGTTAAGATACAATATATTTATTTGTCTTTAGACTATTCAAGAAGTTTGACGACTCCAAACCTCATTTGTGGCAACAGTGATTTAAGTTTCGCTTTCTCGGGAAAGGAATAGTCAGGAATTCTGTTTTGGATCCAATCTCACAAATGATAATAACGGTTCAACATTTTAACGTAGTATTACTATTACCCTACTTTGACGGTATTATAATATAAAATATGATATCATAATTAATATCGATGTCTTAAGGCCTGACCAACCTTTTGGGTATTTGAACGCAATGCTGTAGATCCGATCGTTGTCCCTCCTCAGCGCGCAGTCTCCTCCGCCTGATCTGCGGTGAACACGGAAATACGTTTCTATCCTCTTCTCCTGCTCTTTGAGGAGACCGGGGCACTCGAAGAAAACGGGGTGTCGATAAACATCAGCCATAGTTCAACCCGCGAGGAGAGCCGAATGAAGCCAAACGTCTGTTTTGTGTTGACAAATGTCGCCCGTCTGACCCTGCTGGACGAAGTGCGCCTCACAGCAGATATGAATCACATGAAATGTCTTCATGACTTTGTACAGCTGGGAGGTACCGTGCAGTATCTCTTTACTGGAAACCCTGAGAGGAAAGAGAAAACAACTTTATTGTGTATGAACTCGTGTAACAGTGAAGATTGTTGTGGTCCAACAAACCCCACAGCTGTAGCCATGTGTATAATAATAATAACAATAAGTATTACTATTACTGTATGAGAAAATAATTGGGTATTTGCAAAAAAAAATACCTAATTTTATATATTTCTATATATATTGAAGTGGCACCTTCCCTTTGCACAGACTGGACCCTAAAGCATTATTACACCAAATAAGGAAATATTTATACTGTATGTGTTCTATGGGGCTCTACATGAAAAAAAAAATTCCTTTTTGTCAAAAGTATGAAAATCCATTGGACGGTGTTTTTTCATGAGCAGAACGTCAATGTTAACTCATTTTAACAGACAAGTTGCATATATTTCTTGAAAGCGGGGAGAGAGTCAAAGCCCCGTTAGGCAGCCATCAGCTCTTTTGTTTCACCAGAATCAAGCTTCAGTGCAAACACTGGTTCAGGTATGTCACCTGTTCAGTCTCACCAGCTTGGGCCTGCCGAGGCCATATGCATATGCTGCTTTCTATTCATCAGCAGCTTATAAACTCTGAGGCGACAACAAAGTACAATGACTTCAACAAAAAATACTGGTGGCAAAGAACCACTAATAAGGCCAATATTATAACAAATAATTATGGCACACAAAGAGACTAAGGTGATGAATAATGGTTTAAGCCTATGTGTGAATGGGACTGTTCATTTTCTGTGAATGCACTGAGGTCACACTAAATACAATGCGTTAAATCTCCCTAAAAATCTCTCATCAAAGTAGTGGCCAGTATTTCTTGCAGAACTTCTTGTTGGCGCTGAAAAACTCCAGAGACAATTGGCAGAAAGATGACTCAGCAGGACCTCAAAATTCCATCACCAGAACTTGATCAGTTCTGCGTAATGTCCACCGCGTGCGTCCTTCAGCCCAAGGCCGGGATAGAGAGGCTCAGTGAACGCAACGTGTTCTCTGTGGAGCAGCGTCATCGTGTCGGAGATGTTATAAAAGGACAGAGTCCCTAATATATAATCCAGGTACACTCCGACGCTGGAGGATCGAGGGCCTGACACCGCTTTGCTTCCGTTGTTGTGTCGGAAAGAGTAACCATGTGGGGAGCACTCTAAACTCCACGACTTGGTATCATTTCCAAACTCTAAGTCCTTTGTCCTGCTGCTGTCTTTGTAGGACACTGCCACGGACCAAGTACAACCACTCCATCCGACCTCCCAGTAACACCGCTCTGACAAACCCTCACTGCACAACACCTGCCTGATGATCGGAATCCTCCGGCCTGAGAATGCAGTATAATAATTACTATAATAATTGTCACTGCTTTGAGATAATCCCTCATAGGTTTTACATGTCACCCGCCGGTGTTCTTGTGAAATGGACAAATATTGGGAGACGGAGTTCTGATCCAGGGTCAAAGGACGGCAATCTGACGGAGGAACAAAAGCAGGAAAAAAAAGTCAATATCAACCTTTAAACATCCAGTTCATCATTAATGCACTGGTATATTGTGAAACTGCATAGAGTTAAATGTACTCACAGCGTAAAAACTCCTCTCTGGTCTTTGGCGCAGGTGGAACAACATCTATTGTAGACACTGACAGAAAAACAGATTGTAAATACTACTGGACCTGAATAAAACCACTGTATGCATCTGGATTTATACATTTCTCTGAGGTACCTGTGCTAAAGATCCTGGGCCACGTGTCCTCCAGGAGGCTCTCTATGTCATCCCTCAGTTTAGACACGCAGTCAGTCACAGGTGTGAACGTTGAACGTTGAGGATAAAAGACAGAAACAGGTGGCAGGTCTGGAGATTCACAGGAGGTGGAGAGGGACTGGAAGGTCTGGAGGGAAATCAATAAGCCGGAGACCAGAAGAAACATTAAAATAGTTCAGAGTATAATATTTACCGTCTGTAAAAGAAACACATGCATATAACGTCACGTGTTGCACCGTCAAATATGGCCAGCAGATGGCACTTCAAAACAGATAAAACAGATAAAAAGACTAAAGAACAGATGGATAAAGTTGCTCTGCACCGAAGTGGTACCTGAATGAAATGGATGTGGTCGGGCGTATGAGACAGCTGTTCCAGTTCGGCATCTCTCCTCTTCATCTTGCTGATCTCCTCCTCCAGCTGCAGCTGCAGCTCTTCGGCCTGAGCGGCCGCAGTCTCTTGCTGGGCGTTGATCAGCTGCTTCGTCAAACTGCGTCTTCTCCTCATGGAGCAGATCAGCTCATTGAATATCCCATCACATCTCTCCGCAGCAGTCTGGCTACAACTCTGCTCACGCAAACACAAAATAATGGCATATTGTAGAAGTCCTGTGGCAAAGTTCAGATTGTTTTGACACATTTTAATACATCCTTTGTAACGACGGACTGAATCAATGTTTTAACACTTGAATCTGTGGAGGTTTTTAATGACTGTAGAAAACTAAAAAGGCTCCATCCACATGTCGTCGTAGTCCCAATGCAGACTCAGGTTTAAATATGAAGTCCAATTTCCACACCTTGAAATCCTTCAGAGCTTGTTGCAGCTCCTTCAGCTCCTGTTCTCTCTCCTGGAACCTCTGCTGGACTTTCTTTTGACTCTCAATCAGCTGTTTCTGCACAAAATTGTTAGAGCAACATCAAATGATCGTTTTTCATTTGGGAATGGTTTTGTTACTACAATTATTAAAGTAACAAGCAGATCACTGCAGATCTTTCAGGGTTTTACTAAACAGTCTAAAGTTTCCTGTTCACTAGTTGTGTTTTTGCCTCTACCTGTTCCTCAGCCCTCTCTGATGCAGATGACACCGTATTGTGGCTCCTATGTTCATCTATAACGCACAGATAGCAGATGCACTTCCTGTCCGTCTGACAGTAGACCTCCATCAGCTTGTTGTGCTTCTCACACATCTTTCCCTGCAGTGGGATTGTAGCCGAGACCAGCTGGTGCTTCTTCAACACGGGAACACTGTGGTGAGGCTCGAGGTGAGCTGGACAGTAAGATGCCAAGCAGGTCAGGCAAGACACGGTGGCTTTGTTTCGTCTGGTCCCGCAGCAGAAATCACAGACGACGTCTTCTGGGCCGGCACAGGCCAGAGAAGGAGAGGGCTTCTGGGTGCTGCTCTTCTTCAGCTTCTCCACCAGCTGTGGATGATGGGAAAGAAAGGTGATGAACACTGTTCATTACAGGAAACACAGGACAGAAGCAGAATGACGACAGAAGATTTCACGATCCTCTAAATTGGTTATTATTATTTTGGAATATGCTATATTTATATAGTTTTTAACTGCACTTATTTATAGGCAGGACCACTTCAGAGCTCAGTTGTAATTGCAATGCAAACATTTTGCATTATATTTGGACACTTTCACTCCACAGTATTTAATAGGGCTGAATATGTTTGATATGTGCATTAGTGCTTTAGGTCTGCAGACATATGTGTATTTATCATGATTAATCCACAGATACTGGCTGCATAGGTTTTGACCTAGATTTGACCTCAGCCAGCATGGTGTTCCTCTTCAGAAGCGGCCTCGGACTGAATGTCTCCCGGCACTGAGGACAGCTGTACAGTCCCTTCTTCACCTCCTGGTCCCAGCAATCCTCGATGCAGTTTTTGCAGTAACTGTGTCCACAGGGAATGGTGACCGGCTCCTTGAGCAGGTCCAGACACACTGAACAGCAGAACTGATCCTGGTCCAGGTCGACGCCATGCTCCGGCTGCTGCTCGGCCATTTCTGGTGAGTTTGAAGTGTCTCACGTGCCGAGGAAGACCCGGAGTGAGTTTGGCTTTCGATTTTATACGAAGTAGGTCCGCCTGCTTTCTCCCACTGGGGGCGGGGCTTCAGAGAGCAACACGCTGCTGACGTTATGTAACGTGTGATATTTGTGGTTGGAATTAAACAGAGACTCTTACGCATGTGTTCAGGGAACCAGCAAATAAATTGGAAGCTAAGAAAACAGATTTTTAGTGAATAAATCGACCAGCTATTACAAACATATTTTAAGAAATGCATATCGTCTCTGAACAGAATAAAAATGCACAATATAATCTTTAGTTTCAATGGAAAGCGAATTGTCAGCACTGTTACCTGTTTGATGGTGTTAGCTAACGTGGGACCGGTTAGAGTAAAGAGGGGCACTTATTTTTTTTAGTGCAGAATTTCTGCATTATACATTATAGTTTAAACCACAATGCAGTACAGATGAATTAAAGGTAAGCTACGCTACTTTCATTCATTCCTTTAATCACTTCCACCAAAAGATGATTAAAAATACATCTCCTAAACTCTTAATATGAGGTTTCTTTGTACATTGCATTGTTTGTATATAGCAGTTATGACAGACACACTTCTGCACATACAGAGCAGCTCCAGAATTACCGTATTAGACAGGGGCATGATTTAAATGAATTATAAATTATAAAGAGTTGTAAAAGTATGAAATATGTTTTCAACGCGTTGCAGAAGCGTAGCAGTTTTTTGGGGCTTTCTGTTTCAGGATTTGTTCAGGGACATTTTCCACATTAGGTGAAAAAAAAAAAAAGTATAAAAGTGGCCTCATTGTTTGATAGACACAGTGGGAATGAATTAAGTCTCATAAGTCACAGTCATGAATTTATTGTAGCCGCCACAACAACAAAAAGAGACTGAAAAGAAAAAGTTGGATTAGATTAGGTTCAACTTTATTCTCATTAAACAGAGTACAATAGTGAGACAACGAAATGCAGAAGTACAACAAGCGGCTACGTGCAGAGTTATGTATAAGAGGAATGAACAGAGATATAGAGAATAAACAGAATGTATAATCTGTTGTTGAAACACGTCAAACAAAATGCAAAAAACACTTCAATAAAGAGTAAAGTATTAAAATAAAAACGTGGAAAGTGTAAAATAAAGTCGTCATTTCAGATTATTAATCACTTTCATCTTCCAAAAAAAAGTCATCCCATAACAGTCTGATATCCTGATTCACAATGAATGTCTTCAAACTCTCTCTATTACAATTACATTTTGATTTTCCTCAGGAATGATTCCAAATCTAACAACATGTCGTCAACAATATGTTCTCAAATGTATATTAATTGTTTACCTTGTATTGATAGAACATAAATCACACCGACACTCTGAACCAACAGGAATTATTAGGAAATAAGCTTGATCGCTAAATCCTGGTTTCCAACTTATTTAATGCTTCACAGATTCACAAAACAAGTAGCTCAATATCCCCCAGTTGTGTGCGTAAAAACTGGAGGGGGGGGGGGGGGGGGGGGACTTTCTGGCACATCACTAAACTGGTTTAAATCCTACATTAAAGGGCAGGGACTACTTTGTGTTTATAGGTACCTACACATCTGAGTGGACAAATATAACATGCGGAGTTCCCCAAGGCTCCATTCTGGTGCCTCTTCTGTTCCAAGTTCACATGCATCCACTGGCTCAGAATACGGAAAACAACTAAATAAGTATGCTATGTAAATACACTTGCCTTTTGACATGCTGCAGGACCTTAAATTATGACAAGGCAGGATTCTATAGTTATTTTAGACTTCTTGTAAAATCACATCCTCTCATTTATCATATGGTGTATATTGGACAGCCAACTACTGCCTGATCAACAGGGGCACATTAACCATCCTCCAATATACATTTGCTCACCATAGCTTTATCAGTTCTGCAAAATAGTTTCTGAGATTGTACTGGGATCCATTATTATTCAGCCCAAGGCCGGGATAGAGAGGCTGAGTGAACTCAACGTGTTCTCTGTGGAGCAGCGTCATCGTGTCGGAGATGTTATAAAAGGACAGAGTACCTAATTTATAATCCAGGTACACTCCGACGCTGGAGGATCGAGGGCCTGACACCGCTTTGCTACCGTTGTTGTGCCTGAAAGAGTAACCATTTGGGAAGCACTCTAAACTCCACGACTTGGTATCATTTCCAAACTGTAAGTTATTTGTCCTGCTGCTGTAGGACACTGCCACGGACCAAGTAGAACCAGTCCAACTGACCTCCCAGTAACACCGCTCTGACAAACCCTCACTGCACAACACCTGCATGATAACGTGCTTGGGTGTGGAATCATAATCATTATAATAACCTCCATTATAACCACTAGTATAACCCTGACTGTTATCCTTACAGTAGCTACTTGTGACCCGCCGGTGTTCTTGTGAAATGGACAAATATGGGGAGACAGAGTTCTGAGCCAGGGTCAGAGGACGGCAATCTGACTGAGGAACAAAAGCAGGAAAAAAAACATCAATATCAACCTTTAAATATTCAGTTCATCATTAATGCACTGGTATATTGTGGAACTGCATAGAGCTAAATGTACTCACAGCGTAAAAACTCCTCTCTGGTCTTTGGCGCAGGCGGCACAACATCTATCGTAGACACTGACAGAAAAACAGATTGTAAATACTACTGGACCTGAATAAAACCACTGTATGCATCTGGATTTATATATTTCTCTCAGGTACCTGTGGCAGAGATCCTGGGCCACGTGTCCTCCAGAAGGCTCTCTATGTCATCCCTCAGTTTAGACACGCAGTCAGTCACAGGTGTGAACGTTGAACGTTGAGGATAAAAGACAGAAACAGGTGGCAGGTCTGGAGATTCACAGGAGGTGGAGAGGGACTGGAAGGTCTGGAGGGAAATCAATAAGCCGGAGACCAGAAGAAACATTAAAATAGTTCAGAGTATAATATTTACCGTCTGTAAAAAAACACATGCATATAAATTCACGTGTTGCACCGTCAAATATGGCCAGCAGATGGCACCTTTGACCTCTGAGTTTCACTTCTGTAGTTACAGTCCTGAATGATTTGGCTGTGCAGCACTGATTTATTCAGGAATGTAGAATTGACATTACAACGGATAGAAAGACAAAAAAAAAACAGATGGATGAAGTCGCTCTGCACCAAATTGGTACCTGAATGAAATGGATGTGGTCGGGCGTATGAGACAGCTGTTCCAGTTCGGCGTCTCTCCTCTTCATCTTGCTGATCTCCTCCTCCAGCTGCAGCTGCAGCTCTTCGGCCTGAGCGGCCGCCGTCTCTTCCTGGGCGTTGATCAGCTGCTTCGTCAAACTGCGTTTTTTATTCATGGACGAGATCATCTCATCAAAGATCTTATCACAGGTCTTCCTTGCAGGCTGGGTAGAACTCTGTTCACACAAACAAAAGCAATGACTTTTCCTTTTAATAAATACGTTCTCTGTGGCAAAGTTCTGATTGTTTTCACGCGTTACGTTTTTTAATACATCCTTTGTAACGACAGACTGAATCAATGTTTTAACACTTGAATCTGTGGAGGTTTTTAATGACTAGAAAATGAAAGGCTCCATCCACATGTCGTCGTAGTCCCAGTTTTAAAAACAGACTTCAAAACCCAGACAAGACTTCTTCTGTAGTGCTCAATGCAGACTCAGGTTTAAATATGAAGTCTAATTTCAACACCTTGAAATCCTTCAGAGCTTGTTGCAGCTCCTTCAGCTCCTGTTCTCTCTCCTGGAATCTCTGCTGGACTTTCTTTTGACTCTCAATCAGCTGTTCCTGCAATTGTTGGAGCAACATCAAATGATTGTTTTTAATTTGGGAATGGTTTTGTTACTACAATTATTACGTGTTTTCAATTAAAACTGAGGACTAGTTGTCATAAAGATTTGACTAACACACAGCAGTAACAAGCAGATCTTTCAGGGTTTTACTAAACAGTCTAAAGTTTCCTGTTCACTAGTTGTGTTTTTGCCTCTACCTGTTCCTCAGCCCTCTCTGATGCAGATGACACCGTATTGTGGCTCTTATGCCAAGCAGGTCAGGCAAGACACGGTGGCTTTGTTTCGTCTGGTCCCGCAGCAGAAATCACAGACGACGTCTTCTGGGCCGGCACAGGCCAGAGAAGGAGAGGGCTGCTGGGTGCTGCTCTTCTTCAGCTTCTCCACCAGCTGTGGATGATGGGAAAGAAAGGTGATGAACACTGTTCATTACAGGAAACACAGGACAGAAGCAGAATGACGACAGAAGATTTCACAATCCTCTAAATTAGTTATTCTCACGATGGAAAATGTTCACAAGTGCACAAATTTTGTACTTATTACTCCACTACATTCATTTTAAAACTTTAGTTTCTTGTTACTTTGCAGATTCACATTATTAACACAAAAATAATTAACAATCATCAACGAATTCAAGTGGATTATTGCAGAGAATAACCTATATGGCAAACAAAATGAACCACCTTTTCATGATTTTTGAAGCGTGGATGCAATCACCAGACGTAAACAGCTAATATCAGGCTATAAAAGACCTACACCACGGTCTCACGAGTTCAAGTAAACACAATGAAGCTGTAAAAGGTGGAGGATATGCATGGTGACGTTTTTATAGTCTCATTTTGCCACTTGTTAGCACCCACCTTTTTCAAGACAAGTAAAAGCTTCAAAGTTCACAAGAGGGATATTTACTGGCATATATTTTGTCGAACAAAACAGACCTTATTTAAACCCATTAAAAAAACAAAGCACTGACTTTGAGATGAGGGAAACCATAAGTGCAAAGATACTGAGTCATTTCCGGCACTCCTTTGGCTGGTACTCATTTCCCTCGTCATAGAATTTGTATCAGTATGGATTACTCATTTCATACGAATGGCAGCCTTCTTGTAGAGTGCACTCTTTCATTCACGTTGCCTGTATAGGTGGAATATAATTTGGAGGTGTTTATTAATTTTGATGTGGCGTCATCATTAACCTTTATGTTAGCATTCAAATATTTAAAAACAGTCACTTCACATCAAAAAAGGTTACCGACCCCTGCTTTAGACACACTGTACTTCTTTCAGTGACTCCACAGTATTAAACAGGATTCAGTCATTTGATTCAATAACAATTTAATAGATCACAGTGGGGAAAACAACCTCTGTGGTCTCAAAGTAATTCTCCACCTACACTTTCACACCCTTAAACAGTTCCTACCACCACCTCTACACCTTCCATAGCTACCTCAGCCAGCATGGTGTTCCTCTTCAGAAGCGGCCTCGGACTGAATGTCTCCCGGCACTGAGGACAGCTGTACAGTCCCTTCTTCTCCTCCTGGTCCCAGCAATCCTCGATACAGCTTTTGCAGTAACTGTGTCCACAGGGAATGGTGACCGGCTCCTTGAGCAGGTCCAGACACACTGAACAGCCGAACTGGTTCTTGTCCAGGTCGACGCCATGCTCCGGCTGCTGCTCGGCCATTGTTGATTTACGCGCAGAGAAAGTAGTTTCGTTTCTTCTCAGGGATTTACGCGCAGAGAAAGTAGTTTCGTTTCTTCTCAGGGATTTACGCGCAGAGAAAGTAGTTTCGTTTCTTCTCAGGGATTTACGCGCAGAGAAAGTAGTTTCGTTTCTCCTCAGGGATTTACGCGCAGAGAAAGTAGTTTCGTTTCTCCTCAGGGACTTGGATATTATGATAATATATATTATGTAATATATCATCGATTTTCTATTATCCATAGAAGTTTTTTTTCCCACAACAGTCTGAAATTGGGCACATTGTTTATTTATGTGATATTTCCACAGCTTTGTATTGCAGTTTATTCTAAGGACATTATGTCTCTCTCTCTCTCTCTCTCTCTCTCTCTCTCTCTCTCTCTCTCTCT